TAATTTAAACTTGTGGGGTCATTTCAACCCAATCGAAGCCAAAGCTCACTGGTTGGTCGATGTGAATATTAACTTTATCCCATTGTGAGTTCCATGTGAATACAGGTTGTTGATCGTGAGTTGGGCCTGATTGAGCTACAGCAGTATTTGTCTTTGCCATGAAAATGTCAGTAACCTTGGCATCAATGGCACCAAATGCTTGTGATCTCTTGTTTGGAGGATTCAAGTCACATCTGGCAGCAATTTGGTGGCATGCATCACCATCTGAAAATGGATCTGTTTGATAGTCATTCTTTCTAATCAATCTCTTAACCCCTGTTCATTTTAAGGATTCATCATTAAATCGTATCAAAGGTGTAAATAGAATTTAAAACAAACACAATCACCTACCTTCAAGATCTCCAATATATGGAGCATCACGTCTGAAAATTTAGCTCTTGGGCAATTTTCATAGCTCCAAAAATCTCCAAATTTCTTGTACTGACTTGGATAACCTGAAATGTTATAAATATATGGGAAATAAGGAATATTATAGGAAGCCCAATATGATGTGTCTAAAAAGTGGCTTACGCTAGCAACTTTACAATCTCCTGGAATTTGTTCCAAAATATAGAGCAGTTCTGGATCCGATCTTGCTGCGCCAGGAACAAATCTCTTGGTATCCAACACGATCCATTGGTTGTTGTAGGTTCCGCTGTTATATTTAGCAAAGATATCAGTCCATTCCTTTGCAGATGTTGCTAATCTGTTTGCAACAATATTTCTAATCCAGTATAATAAGGTTTCTGGAGTAGTCTTTTGATAAAGGGTCAAGTTAAAAATGTTGTTTGATGTCTCTGTAATGACCAAACCAGCTGAAGTAATGTAAAAATCATCCACAGAAACTAGCCAACCAGGAGCAGAGGAGAAGCTGACAAGCTTAGCTGGAACATTCTTAAAGTTAATTCTATAGTGCTTGTAAACTCTGCAAGTATTGACTGTTTCGTAAACAACATACGCATAATTGTGATTTAAAACATACCTCAACATGTTTTGGAATGTGTCCCAAGTAGCATGCGTTAAGAAGATATTTCTTCGATCCTTACTATATTTCACAAATGCACTACATTTAGTTTTGAAAATGGCATAGCTCTCCAAGTCAAACTTGCTCATGGTTTCAAATGAAGGAGGACTCCACATATTGGACAAATCATCAATGTCACCGTCCAGTTGGAATTTAAACAAATCAGCCAACGATAACACAGGCAAGACTCCCTTTTCAGACATAAGTTTCAAGTAACCAGCATACATTCCTTCTACTTGATCTAAAATCAATGAGACTTGATACCAATAAGTTCTTTCCTCTGGATTTGTAGAATTTTTTGCTTCAGCGATCTTTCTCTTCATGAATCTGAAATTTCCATCAAGGAAAGCATCTAATTGTTTGGTTTGACTTGTATCAAACGTATACTGTTTGAATCCAATCCAATAATTTTGAAACAATTCTCCAGTTACATAACCTTTGTGAAGACATCATGCAATATTATAATATTTAGAAAAATTGAAATCTCTAAATTCGACTCAATCCTACCTTCAACAAAACCAGCAGCAAATGCTTGCTCCTCATCGCTTTTATCTGAGTTTGTACTTAAACTCAAAGTGGCCCATCCAGTCTTGTTGATAGTCTCTTCATAATGAACTTGAGCCATAGGTTCTCCGACCATGATGGTCATTTTCGATTCTTTCACCATCGTATATGCATTTAAATCTCTGAAACCATTTCGTTTATCAGCACTATGATTCGGATTGAACATCAGGTGGTATTTCTCTCCGGCTGCATACATGCCACAGAGCAAGACCACAACACAACACAACAGCACCGAAGCTTTGAACATTTTTTTTCAAACTCCCAACTCCGCTTTGTTGTTGTTTGATCCGAGTGATTCTCCAAGTGAGCAGTAATTTATACTTCTTCCATTCAACAGATTTCAAATTTCGTTCGTGTTAACATACTGGTTGGCTCGTTAATCCACGTTCTCACTCTCAATCCCATCATCAAAAACACTGCTGCATTGTAAAATTCAAAAAAATGTCGTCCATTACGCTCGAAGCCATTCGCAATGCTCAACCCATCGCCCAAAAGATGGTTGATTTCATCAACAAGTCAAAATCACCCTATCATGTTGTCGGAACCATAAAGCAAAAATTGGCTGAATTTGGATTTGAACAACTCTACGAAAGGTATTTTTCTTTATTTCAAGCGAAGATATTGAAAACATGAATTTATTAATTTAGAGAGGCAAATTGGTCCGAAAAGATCAAGCCATGTGGCAAGTATTTCTTCACCAGAAATCATTCAACCATTGTTGCATTTAGCGTTGGTGGCAATTTCAAGCCTGGATCGTCTGGTTTGAAGATTATTGGTGCTCACACTGACTCCCCTCACTTGATCATGAAACCAATTTCATCACAAAAGAGTTCTGGCTATTTGCAAGTTGGTGTTCAAACATATGGAGGTGGCTTATGGTACACCTGGTTTGATCGCGGTGGGTATTGTGTTGAAGTATTTCAAAATTTGAACTTATTAATTCTTTGTAATTATACCACCTTTGTTACGGAATATTTAATTTCAATCTACAATATTTGACAATATGAAACAATGTTGATTGTAATAGATTTAACCGTTGCTGGAAGAGTTATTGTTGCAGATGGAAAAGATAAATTCAAACAACATTTGGTAGAAATAGAAAAGCCAATTTTGAGAATTCCATCTTTGGCAATTCATCTTCAACGAGAAGTAAGCCAAGATGGTTTTAAACCCAACACTGAGACGCATTTACTACCAATTATTGGAACTGAATTAGGAGAATTGAGTGATGATCCTAATGCAAAGGGATTTATTGCAAATCACCATTCTGTGTTGTTGAAAGCTCTAGCTCAAGAGTTGAAATGTGATGTAGCTGATATCAAAGACTTTGATTTGTCAATTGTTGACACTCAACCTGGTGTTATTGGTGGTGTGAATAGTGAATTTGTGTTTGCTCCAAGATTGGACAACTTGGCTTCTTGCTTTGTTGCATTGGAGTCCTTGATCAACTCTGATTCAACCTTGGAAACTGAAAAGGATGTAAGAATGATCTGTCTTTTTGATCACGAAGAGGTTGGAAGTGCAAGTAGTTATGGAGCTGACTCTTCATTGATTTCAGATACCATTAACAGAGTTATTCAATGTACACATGCTTCCCTTGATAAGAATGCTCCTGTAGATTCGTATGGAGCATGTGTTGCCAAGAGTTTTATTATCAGCTGTGATATGGCTCATGCAGGTAGGTTGAACTTATGTTAACCATAGAACACACAAATTTTTCAACAATTTTCACACCAAGTTCACCCTAATTATTCTGAAAAGCATCAAGCCAAGCATAGACCTCAAATCCATCAAGGCCTTGTCCTCAAGACAAACGCCAATCAGAGATACACAACCAATGGTTACACTTCATTCTTATTTGGAGAATTGGCACGTAGAAATAATATTCCTCTTCAATCCTTTGTAGTTAGGTGAGTATTCATTTCGAATAGATTTGTTGTTCATGTAATTTTTAACAACGACATTCAGAAATGACTCAGCGTGCGGTAGCACCATCGGCCCAATTGTGAGTAGTAATACATCCATCCGTACCATTGATGTTGGAATTCCTCAATTGTCGATGCACTCCATTAGAGAACAATGTGGCGTGGTGGATATTAAGAGCACTGTGGATTTATTCACTCACTTCTTTAATGAATTCTCAGATATTGACAGTTCTGTCCATGTAGATGAATAAATTTATTCATCACCTTTATTACAGCTAGTAGTGGTATATTAATTACTACTAATGTAACGCATATGACATAACCGAAATAGCTGAAGGCGGGCTAACTTTACGTAAACTTTTTGGCGTCTCATTCCAAAATAATATGTTGTTTTCTCCAACAAAGTCTTGAAAGTGCGCTGCAGAACATACTACTCGAACGCCTTCCACAAAGAATGTCTCACGATCACCACCACACACGCATTAACAAGGAGCCTTACAGAGGAGGAGGAACGGCCAGCCCTAGCCCTTCCGAACCGTCTGAGCTTTTAAACGCTCTCACAGTCGTTGGTCTCAAAACTATAAAGCACCGAGAAGAAACGCAACCCCAACACAGTGAATCTATTCATGAAAAGCATCATGATCCTCAATATCATCTCATTCCTTGTTCCTTAGTGAAAATTGAAAAAGGAGTGTTTTTTCCTCTTATTTTACCCAAACTCTTGGGAGAGGATGAAGGCTTGATGAAATGGCTCCAGCACTATCAAACAGAAATCAAACCTCCAAAGTTGTTGAGTCCCAATGAATTGATGGAAACGATGGAAACATTGGAACAATATTTGAAATCACATCATGAATGGCAGTCCAAATACCCTCATACTGCATCCACCCGTTTACCAGACGATGCTTTTGCACAATTAGACAAGTATTGTATGCGTATGATGAATCTCATCACCTCAAGAATATTGGGAAGGAGGAACGAAGAGGAAGAAGATAGTACAAACCGCTCTTCCTCAACATCTTCCGTACAGAGCTGCACATTTTCACTTCCATCAGAATGTATGGATCGAAAGAATGAAAAGAAGCCTGTGATGGAGTTGTACAATATTGTATTTTCACTCTTTGATGATAGTAACATTCCATTCCTGATTACGAACAATGAACGAAGAGCAATTGAGAACAAGAAAGAATTATCCACTATATCTCAATTCCTTAAAGAATTCGTTGAGAATCATGATGATCGCATGGAACAGACTCTACATGTTGAACTTTTACCAAGTATGGTAGAATTTAAACACTCGTGCAACAAGGAAAAACACTCGTTAAACAATGTGCTGGAAGACATACGACTGCAGTGGGTTCCTGGCTTATTGGCCGATTTAGATCTCACCATGACAAGAAACTTTAAAACTCCCACAAGTCATGAGCGAGTTGGTTTTCTATGTACAGAGTATGCAATTTCAGGGGAATTTTCAATGAGTAACATTCTCCAATGTGGAAATTGGATCATTATTCGTAATGTTTGCAATTTACCTTTAAAATTGATGGAATTGAGTTCAAATTGTGGAGCAGGAATTTTGGCTGACAAATCCAACATGTTCATCTACAAGGTGGTTAAAAGACCAAAACCGTTGTCAGAATTTTCACCAAAATTTGAATGGACCTACTGTACACATTTTGATTTGAACTCTCTCGAACAACGGTGCATGGCTTTTGCAGTGTTATGGACATTGTTGTTAGATTTGAAAAAAGAAAATAAGAGTATTAACACAAGTTCTCAAAAGTATCTCAAAGATTTTGTTTCCAAAGCTGAAAAATTATTAATGCATCCCAAGACAATGGCCTTAACAGGTCATGGTGGTGAAAAACAACAACAACCTCTAAGAAAACTCACTGGAGAAAAAGTTCAACCGCTTGGCTCGGCTTCAGTGACTCCTTTGAAGAGTCATGAGCAGCAACAGCATACTGTGTGGCATTTGGATGAGCATTTGAAATCTGAACACAAGAAAATGGTGGATGAAATGAGCTCTCCCATCTACAAGATGATGCATCAAAGAGATGTAAAAGAACGAACAGAGAAGATACTTAAGAATTTAGACCTTGCCAATCGGAAAATGGATTGCAACAAAGATATCGAGTTGTAACTCATGTCCTCCTTCAAATAAAAATGAAGATCCAGAAAACCGATTACCACGGAAATTATAACAACAATAATTATGGACGAAGAGACGGAAGGAGAGGTGGAAGAGGAGGCTATAGTAATAACCGAACATATCATCATCAAAAGAAGCAACACAAGGAATACGTTTTTGATGTTTCACAATATTACAAGGAATCATTTTGGGTTGATCCATGGTTTTGATTGTGTGTTCCATGCACTTTATAAATTATTAATTTATTATTTTGGAATTATTAATATGATTGAATTATTCTCAATACAAAAAATTTAATCAACAACCAAGCTTGGATGGATCCACTTCCAATATTTGAAGATTTTATCAACAGCAAAGTAGGTATTTGAGGAAACAACCACAATTCTTTTAATTAAATTTTAATTCTTTATGACTTGAAGGGAGGAAGCAAGGTGAATCACGACGTAAAAATTGTAGGGATGGTGAATATTCACATGTTCGGAAAAAGTTTAATTCAAAAAGGAGTCACAATGCGAGGAGATTTAGAAACGATAAGAATCGGAAAGCTCACAATCATCGGAGAAAATTCAATCATACAACCACCCTCAATCGCTAATTACGGTTTAGAAGTAACACAAAAAATTGGTACACATCTTCCTGTAGTCATAGGTGATCATGTATTTATTGGCAAAGACTCAAAAATTTCAGCAGCTGAAATTGGTTCCTTTGTGTACATTGGAAATAATTGTGTGATTGTAAGTCTATGACGTTTCTTTCGGTAATCATCTGCTTATTAATTCTTGATGACTCTAAGGGCGAGAGATGTATTCTTCGTGATTGTTGTCGAGTGGAAGACAATTCTGTGGTGCCTTCAGATACTGTTATTCCTTCATTTACGTCGTTTTCTGGAATTCCTGCACGCATGACATCGCAAGAGTTGCCGGAATGTACAGAGCTCATGATGAAAGATCTCACAACTAATGTATGGGTCCAATATTCTCCAAAAATTATTTAATAGAGCTCTGTTTCTATTGTGTCAAGCAATCACCAAGCTGACCTGCATATTTTTCGGTCAATCTATTTTTCAGAATATCAATTCGTTGGTTTAGTTGAGACGATAATGCTAGGAGATCTCCATCATTTTGTAACTCTGTAATGATATTGTGATCTTTTAGACGTATTACTTGATAATGAATTTAACATACCTTGCTGTACAACTTTAGAACTTGCTAGCTCCATTCCATCCGTTTCAACCAATGAAAGAAGGTGATTCACATCCTTAATAGTGATCAGAATATTTCTTCTAATAAATTCCATTTGATGAAACGCTTTCTCGTTATTTTTCAATCTAAAGTTTTCGCTCCTGAGTGAGTTAGATATTCTTCTTTCTTCTTCAATGATTCTCATCAGATCGTTTTTTCTATTTTCTTGCTCATCCAACACCGTTGCCAGCTTAATTTTGTGTTTTTCCACAAGACCTTCAAGGAACATTATTCGTTCATCTTTTGTTTGGCCTTCTTTGAGTTGAATAGAAATCTCATCCTTCACTTGTTCTGTAAATTCTCTTCTTTCCTCAAGGAGATGCTGGGTGTGCTTTTTCAATCTTTCAATTTCAAGCATGTTGTTATCGTTGAAAAGTTTTAGAGTTCTAATTTCTTGATCTTTTTTCTCGATTGTTATATTTAACTCGTTCATGATTTTGTCTTTCTCACCATTTTTTCTGATTTCATCCTCTTTACAAGCAATGAGTTCAAGTAATCTTGCTTTTTTCTCTTCATATAGCATTCGTTCTCGCTCAATGTCAGATTTTAAGTCCCTAATGGTTCTATTGTGTTCCTCAATTATTGGTCTCAAATGTTGTCTATCTTGATCTTTAATCTGCACTTCCTTTTCTTTAATGGTCATGTTCAGGTTCTCTATTGTTTTCTGCAATCCATCTACAATATTCACATGTGACTGAGAGTTCGTCTCGAGTTTGATTTGTAATTCATCTATTTGCTTTTTTAATTCATTGATGGTTGTATCTTTGCTTCTATTCAGAAACTGGATAGACTCATTGGTTTCTTCCATTGACTTAATCTCGCTCTCTAAAGAAGTGTTTAAGGAATGCAGCTTAATGATTTTGTTTCTAAGGTCAAGAATTTCCTTGTTCTTCTTTTGAATTTCATCTATCAAAGTCTTTTTTGAAAACTCTTTTTGCTTCAATAGATTTACATCAACGATATCTTGCCTCCTTTCTGATTTTGGAGGAGTGACATCTGTTTTCTTGTTGGGCTTGAGAACGTCTTCATTTAAGGCGTTTCTTTTTGACTTCTTGATTTGGGAGAGAATATTTACAATTTCTTTGTCCTCAATATCAGTAGCATCATTTTCTCGACTATTGAATATTATAGAGGTTTTCTTAGACTTTGGAGATGTATAAGTATAAGACGAAGAGACAAAATCCTCTGTGAAATAGCTGTTTTGTTGGGCTTTCTCTCCTGCAAGCATTTGCTTGATTAGATCCTCACGACCTGATTTTGGTGATATTTCAACCTCTTTTGCAGTCACAGGCAGGGCACCACTTGGAGAAAAGCTTTTCTCCTTTATATTCTTCTCAATTCTAAAATCATCAGCATCATTGTCCTCAGTGTATTTTGTTGATCCGAAATACAACTCCATGGATGGTGATGTTTTTGTAAATAACTCGCGTTCTCTTGGAGTTGGTGTTGTTCCACGAAACAAATCTCGGTTCATTCCGCTTGTTATAACGTTGTTGTTGTAGAAACGATGAGGATGATGTTTCTCAAAAGATGAAATGGGTGAATTTTTTGCGCCAAGAGTTGTAAGGGGCATTCCTGGATCTGAGGTTTGGAAAAACAACTCTTCTCGATTGGACTTTGAAGAGTTTGGACGAGGGGAGGAAAGATTGGAATAGGGAAGAGAGCGACGAGATGAAGATTTTCTTGAATCTGCACTTGCAAAGCTGAAAGGACTGAGCTGTTTTTGATCTCGAATTAAAGAAAAGTGCCCAGGAGAATGATTAATGGCTAGCTCGGAGGATGGTCGTTCAGCATCATCAATTCGTGTGTTCGACGAAAAAAGTTCAGTAGCCTCTCGTAAGGCAGGTATTTTAGTGGGCTTGTGCTGATCACGATCACTCCTTGTAGGAGAGGATGCAAATATTCGAGAGAAGCCATTCCTTCCTTCAATGTACAAGAGTGTTCGTGTGGTGTTGGTTTCATCCTCTCCAGCAACTTGGAATGAATCGTTGTTGGTCCAATCGTGGTCTTGTTGCATTTTTAATTGACTTCGTTCATCCTCACCAAGTATCGGAATCATTGTCCATTGGTTTGCAGTCCATGATTAAGCCGACAAGAAGAAGTAGAAACATTTCAATTCAAATTTGAATTGTTTATTGGTATGGAATGAAGGAAGTAGGTCGATTCACTTCCTCCTACACAAGTCACTTTTACGATACTCGCTCTCTCTTGTGAGTAAAAACAGTGGTGCCAATTATTTCGTTGAATGAATCTAAATCCATATCGTCCCTCATCGTCTTGTTGTTGGGAATGTCGGCAGAATAAACATTGGGCATTTCGGTGTCTGTCAACATGTAACTGTTGATAAACTTTGGAACAGATCCAGCCAATCCTTTGCAATCATCGGATTCATCCATGAAAAATTGTTGTTGCTTTGATGATCGTTTAGGAGAAGTTTGTTTGGGTTGCAGCTTGTTAGGAGAAGAGTATGGTGAATGAAAGCATGAGGATGAATTAGTGGAAGCAGAAGACAATCTTCTATGGGTTGATGATGATGATGAAATTTGACCAACAGCACCTGTCGTTGTTGATGAGTGAAGAAAAGAAGTCGGAGAATGATTGAAAATTGGAGTAGTGGCCGAGCTCGTGCCTCGCTTTTGTCTGTTTTGAAGATTGAATGGAATTTTTGGTCCCATCGAATACATGGGAGTGGTGGTCATGATCGTCGTCGTTGTGGTTGTTGTGGATGGAGTGGTTGTGGTAGGAGAGGATGAACAACTAGTACCATTTCGAGCATTGCTCTCAGACGACGAGGTAGCTGTTGAAACTGAAGAACGGCTCACTTGATAGTGTTCTGTAGAAAGAGTTTCATGACTTTTCGTTCTTCTCTGACTCATGAATTTCTCCTTTCTTTCATTGAAAACATCAGCCTTCAAACAAACACAAAACTTGGGCACAGTAACCATACTGCTGTTATTGTTGTTGTTGGATGAGTGGACAACAAGATCTCCGTTGTTTGACTTTCTCAAGCTTGGTGAGCCCAATGAGATTGAGACTGTCTCATCATCAAGGTCATTGCTGAGGCTTGCAATGTGTCCCACTTTTCCGTGAAGCATGGGATCAATGACTTGCAAAATTTCAAACTCTTCTGGAACTACAATGAGAACAAGATCATCTTGTTGCAAAAGGTGTTTGTTGAGCTTGTGGTGAACAAATTCAATACGTTGCTTGTTGTCTTCTGCATGGTTGGTAGTTTGAAAGTTCTCATTGTCATGATTGCTTGACACCAAAGGCTTGTAATTGATGAGCCCTTTAAATTGTTGTTGTTGTGGTTGTTTCATTTTGTAGGTTGATGTATTACTACTGCACTACACTACTACTTTCAATTACGAGCTACTAGAATGTTACTACTAGACACCACTGAGGAGAGAGTAATTATATTGTTGTTGTGTATGAAAAACGCCAACACTCTAAAAGGGCACACAGCAATCCACTATCAAGATAGTTAAGGCTTGACTTGAAGGCTTGATTCTGAACAGAGCGCACCAAGTGTATTTCCCCCTCGTTGATTTCGCTGTTTTGTATGGAAGAGAGAATGTTTTGAATCTGTTCTGGCGCTTGTTGTTCCTCTCTGAGAGAACGTGACTTGTTTTTTTTACGAAAATTCATAGTGAAGGATCTTTGCACAGAGGTAAGCACTGCATTTTGATGGCAGGCGTGAAGATCAAGCCAAGCAGCTTTTGTATGGACATTTGGCACGTGACAGAGGACGGGAGATTGAAAAAAATGAAGGTTTTCCCAAAAGAGCGAAGCTGGCATGAAAGTTCTAAAAAGATAACAACAACGGGACGAAGTGAAATATTGGACGATGAAAGCAAGCTGTGTTGTAGTAAGAACCATAAGCCTTCTCCTTGTTGAGGAGAATGAAAAGAAAAAAGACCCCTGTTGGAGGTTCCAAAAACTTGGTGAATGCAGGAACGTCAGCTCACTTTGTTCTCACATGCCTCGATTTTCTGCCGATGAGTCTAAAGAACAATTTTGGAAAACGTGAAGCCTTGCCGAACAAATCAGACAAACTTTCCTGTGCTTGGCGAAATTATTGTACGGACTCTTCATTCAAGAAAACTGGTGAAGATACTGGCATCTTTGAAAATGATGTACAGAAGCTTCTAATGGCGAATAATACGTGTAATTACACCCCCGTTTTGGTCATAAAATAGATTCTCACTTTTACAGTCAAACTAATCAACTACAGTTCTTGCATTTGCTTGTACCTACCAGGTCGGCCATGCTGATTGGTTCGGCAATTTGATAAGTATTAAGGTTTGATATTGAATCGAAAAAGTGGTATATAACTAATGAATGTATTGTTCTTGTTATTGGCGTAGTGTCAACCAAGGAGGGATCAATTCATATCCAATTCCTGACATCGTTGATGTTGTGATGTTGAGCATTGAAAAACCTGTTGTTGACAGCGATTCAAAGGTGAGTATGATGATCTATTGTGTTTTCACAGTCTTTCTTCCATTCAATTGTTAATTATTATGGCAAGTCTAGTACAGCCAATCGGGCTTTTTATCATCTCTGAACGTAACCAAATCTGTGTCAAATAATTCAATAAATTGCTCATTCTGTAATCTCACTTTAGAACCAGCATATCTTCGATATTCATCCAAAATACTGGTTAAGTTCCATCTTTGAATCTTTCGGAGACATCCAACAACAGTACCAGTTCTATGACGCCCTAAATTGCACATAATAGCCAAAGGAAGATTTTCTCTATTTAAAATTACCTCCAAAGCCTCTACAACAATTTCTTCCGAAATTAAACCCAATTGAGCCATGCCAGTATGTGATATTGAATTACCGCTTTTCATTTTCGTTGATTGAGTTAAATGAATTAAATTTATATTCTGATCTTTGGCAAAGTTTGTAAATTCTTGAGTGGGCTGATCCGGAGCTAAATAAATAATAGTTTTTAAATTTAATGTGGCCAGATGAGGAAAATTGACTGATGTTGGTTGTCCTGATCGGAATACATTCTCTTGAACATAGCCAAAGTTGATCGGTGGTACGAGAATGGTCATTTTTTTTATTCTATGCTTTTGATACTAGTAAACATCTTGTACACAAAATAAGACTGAAAGTAAAGTACACATCCAGTTTCTTCAAAAAGAATGATTGAGTAACGAATGAAAATTGTTGTAATTCGCAAGTGAGAAATAGAATTAATTTTAAATAAAAAATGCAACGATCAAGCGGAGCAATTATTTCTCAGCTTAAACAATTTATTATTCCTCCTTTGAGTCATCAGGCCCATAAAGGTCAAGCAGGAAGAATTGCTGTAATCGGAGGTAGCGAAGAATACACTGGAGCTCCTTATTACGCAGCAATATCTGCTTTAAAATGTGGAGCAGATCTGTCTTTTGTAATTTGCTCTAAATTAGCGAGCGTGATTAAATCGTATTCCCCAGAGCTGATTGTGTATCCGTTCATGTATGAAAAATCAAGTGTAGAGTACGAAACAATAACCAAAACTCCTCATTTGTTTTCTCAAGATTATGAATTTAAACAATTTATGAAAAACACATACGAAGGTATATTCAGGCGTATCAGTAGCGTAGTGTTAGGACCTGGATTAGGAAGATCCAAAGAAATTCTTCAACAAGCTGAGTGGTTCATTAACTATTGCAATGAACTAAATATGCCATTAGTGTTAGATGGAGATGGCCTTTTTTTAATTGGAGAAAAGCCAGAATTGATTAAGGGGCAGCAAAACGTTGTTCTTACGCCCAATCCAGCCGAATTTCAAAGATTATTTTCTAAAGTCGTGGATTATCACAATAAGAATAGCACAGAACAAGTTTCAGCGTCTCAGTTTAAGACAGAGCTCGAGGAATTGACTTTTGTTTCCAAAGCTCTTGGAAATGTTTGTATTGTAAGAAAGGGACTTGTTGACATCATTTCTATTGGAGATCATTATGTAGAATGTGAAATACTGTCACCCTCTCCAAGAAGATGTGGAGGACAAGGCGATGTGTTAACTGGAATTCTCGCAACGTTCTCCTATTGGGCGAATTGGGACAGAAAAGAAGTGACCACCAAATTAAGTCACGAAGAGAAGATCTTAGCTGCTTGCTACGGTAGCTGCTTGGTTCAAAAAAAAGCAGCTCAAATCGCTTTCTCCCAACATCATAGATCCACCACCACTCCGGATATTATTGATAAAATAGGTGAGGCATTCTCTGAAGCTTTTAAGGAGGATAACTAACGCTTAATGCGTTCTGTAAATAAATAGTGTCATAATTTATTGTAAGAAAGATGGATTAAACCCATTGCTTTGCAAATATTCATAGAGACGCTTCGCAGTAGTTGGATTTGAGAGAATTAAGGACCTGACAAATTGTACTTGCTGAGGATCAAGTTGAGACACAAAGCTACTCAAGCTTTGGGCAAGATACTGCTTACTATTCTGAACTTCTTTTACGGGATCTTCAATTCCCATTGCAGCAAAGCTGAGTTTTGTGAAAGTGACCTTGTATCCACCTGCCATACTTCTTTCAGTGTGAAGAACGGTTTCATCATCATCAACAAAAACCTCTTCTTCTTCCTCTGCCTTGTCAACTCCCTCCAAGAATGCTACTAGTTCATCCAGCAACATCTTCCAAGTGTCGACCGAAGTTTGGATCAAATCAGTATGGAACAAGATTTGAGCCAAAGCAACGGCACACACCTTCTTTTCAATTCTTCCAGAGATGGACTTTAAAGAGCTTTCCCAAACGACTTTTGCAAGCGAAGGGAAAATACCTTGCTGGATTTGGTTAATGGTTTGCAATAAAGCTTTTGCACCATATTTAACCACAAAGTTGGAGAAGAAAATAATGAGACATCTCACAAATTGACCAGTCTTTTTCTTTTGAAGTCTAGTGAACAATACTTTGAAAATTTCAACCATGTACATGCTTAATTGTTCGTATGGAACAGTTGAGATTAAGCTGTCCAAAATTCTAAAACCATGATAATCCTTAGTCTTAGACATGACCAATGTTTGGAAAATTCCTAAAACTTGCTGTAATTGATTATTCTTGGCAAGTTCTTGTGGTGCCTTTGTAATAAATGTGGCTACATAGGCAACAAGTCCTGGAACATTACCTTCACTTTCCCACAAGTTGGCGCTTAAAAAGTTTGGAAAGAGACCCAAATATGCTTGTGGAAGTGGAGGTTGTCTAATAGATAAAAGTTGAGAAATCAATTGGAAAACATAGGGTGTGAATTCTTCAATACCACTTGTAAGAATAGTTTGGAAAGGTGGAAATAGAGAAGCCTCAAATTCTGAAATGTAATCTCTGTTGAATCTGATCACAGTGGCATAGGACTCGAATAGATAATGGTTAAACTTGGGGTTATTTGGATTCTTGCAAACTTGTCCCAACACTTCTGTAATCTTTGAAATATAAGCAGGCATAATTGGTTTCATTTGCTCTTTCAGTGCAGCCGTAGATCTCATAATAGCTTTCATGATATATTCATTTTCTTCAGTGTTATCAAGAGCATGGAATAATCCTTGTAATAATTGTTCTGCAAATGGTAAAACATCTTGTTGTGTAAATCTTGGTTTATCATTCTCATCTCTAACCACTAATAGCCTTTCAATGCACCATGCTGCATATGTTTGAACCACTGGTTCATAAGAGTATAAAAGTTGAATTGTCAATGGGAATATCACAGGGAATGAGTCTTTTGGAAGGTGTTGTCTGAAGGTGCAAATAAATTTGATGGCATCAGCTTGAATAATCGGATGAGAGCTGGCTTGTAATTGAGGAACTATTTGGGTAGATAAAAAGTTCATCACACCCACATATTGACTAACAACAGTGGCACCCTTTCTTTGAATAGAGGCCTTTACAGAAATGCAAGTTAGCAAGAAAATCGCAGCATCTCTACTCTTCCAATCATTGTTTTGTAACAGAGAATGAATCTTTTGAAGAAAATTATCAGCAATGTCCTTTTCGTAGTAAATGCTAAGGCATTTGATGAGCTCTTGAGCTGACCTTCTCCTTGACTCTGTGTCAGATCCCTCGATATCTCTTCTAATGTATTCTATAGGTTCTTCGGCAAAAATAATTTCATCCTCTTCACGAAGAGAAATGTTTGGAATAATAATGTTGTCGCATATTGGTGCTAAAGCATTCTTAAAGATGGCATGTTTTTCACTTCTGCTGACCAAGGTTAAAAATTCAATAGCCTTTGACACTACAGCATCATACTTCATCTTTGAATCCAACTTTGAGAGGAGTTGCCAAACGCTTGTCGCAAAAATTTCAACATAAGGAATGAATATTTCGTCATACTTTTCCAAGTAAAGATTAATGGATTGACAAACCAATCTTTTTGCTTCGTCCAATAATCCAGGTTCTTCGATTAAATTATTATCTAAGGCTGGGTTGTCATAATTTAAAATTGTGTTAAACATGGAGCTGTATTCTGCGACATGCTCTTCGAAATATTCAGGAATGTCAACCCAATTCAACGAGTAAAATATTTCGAGTAGCAAATTAATGCACGTGAAAATTAATTTCAAGTCGTTGGGGTTTGTGATTTGAGAAAGGGATGAGATAAAACCTTGGAATGTATGGAACATTGGATCAGCAAACTCTTTCATAATGTAAATCAATTCATCTTCAATTTCATCTGTCTTGGATTGTTCTCTGTACTTTTTAAAGATTGAATGACAAGTAAAAAGCACACCTCTAACAGTTTCAAAGTTTGAAGAATTTGTTCGTAATTGATTCACCAAATACTAAATGTGATATTCAATGTTAAATAAAAGAAACAGCTTAATATACCACAACGTACCGGAAGCAAACTTGTCCAATTTTTGTAAAAATCAAATTCACTAATGATTGTGATGATTTCGGAAAGTACGTCTTGTATCTTGGTGTCAGAGGCAGAAAATAATAAATCTACGCATCCTTTTTTAATCAACTCTTTATCTTCAGGACGTAATATCAAGTTTACGTCCCAATCTTTCTTTACCAAATTCTTCAACAACACAGTAACCATCAAACGATGCTCGCTTCTCATAGTACCATCTGCAATATATCTCAAGAGTAGAGAAACATAATATGGTTGTTTTTCTAACTCCTTCAAATCTTGCTCAGCTGTTTGTTCCGATGATGGATTAATTTTGTAATTTAAATGGCAAAGATTGTGATTCATCAACAACACTTAAAGTGCTGAGGCTTACCTTTTATTCTCACTGATGCTTCGTATGTCATTGTGTTTTGAATGAGTGTGGTCAGGTAGCCCAAGTTGGGCTCAGTGATGGTGTTCTGCATTTTTTGTTTCTTTTTCTTCGGCTTCAACCATTTTTCATCAAATAAAGCGCCAAATTCAGAGAGCTGAAAAGAATTCCTGCGTTGGGACATGTTTATGTACATTCATGAAAACTGTGTATATTATTTACATTCTATGCTGAATGAGTAGGTTATTGTTCTTCGGACTGGAAATTTGGGTAGTTGTAGTCTTGCGACGAGAGAGCAACTCCTCCATTGGACATGGATTGTCTCACCTTATTCTCTAGAATCGAATCAAATTCATTCTTATTTCTAATATCTGGTGGTGTATAGGCCACTTTCTTTCTTAAATATCTCTTTCTTGCGTTAATGAACCAATTATTCAATTGCTTCTTGTCATAGTCGAGTTCTTTCATAAAGACTTCTTTTTGTCTTTCCGAAGGATATGGATTGCTCTTGTTAATCATTAAGAACTCTTTGAGGATTTCCTTCTTGCCTTGAGAATTGTTCTTTTTACGTTTTTTACTTTGAATCCATTCTTGAAGTTGTTGAAGTTCGAGAGCCTCAGAGCTCACAACTTCATGATTCTGACACGAATCGTCGTCGAATGCTGCTTCTGATAATTTTCTCTTCTTTAATTGAGAGCCACTTTCCATAGCAATACTCTCAATATCTCGTATCAAGTTGTTTGACAGAATATCAAGAGATTGGTCAATTTGATGTAATAATTGATTCATCCATTCATTGTTACAGGTTGATACAGATTGACTTGGAATGGTGATGCTTCCAACAAAAGTGGCCAGATTGGCTGCTGTCGATGGATCGAACACACTCGAATGGGTGTTGTTACAGGAAGATGAATTGACAGTACCTGCTGTCATGTTAGATGTGTTGGACTGCTGTGTAAAGAAGGGATGACCAGTCTGGTGCTGACACAACGAGATGTTTGCGTTATTATTATTTAAAAAGTATTGGAGTGGGTTATTAGAAAAGCTAGATAGTAGAGAACTCATGGTGAGAAGATATGTTGTCGACAGTGGTTGTTGTAAGAAGTAATACTATTAGACGTGACTGGTTGTGCAACGAGAGTGTGTGGACGGAAGAGAAAATATTGGGGTTGACAACACTCTGCAGTGAAGGTTGATGTGAAGGATTGAGAGATATCAGTCTAGAAGAAGCATGCAATGCTGTGAAGCTATTATCAAAAGAATAACAGTTGAAGGCGAGCTACAAGGACAGATGTTGACAGTATCAATGGTTGTTCTTTTTTCTATTGAGTTTTGAGAGGTTTTCGCAAAAAGTGACAGCTTTTGAGGTTTTGCTCGTATTGTGTGGCTCATTGAGAGATTCCTGTAAGTATCGGTATTCTCTCAGCTACAAGATGTAAACCCTATGATTATTCGTAAATAACTCTCCTGAGAGTTATAAAAAGTATTGTAAATATTGAAACAAGCAAACCTCAACCGCAAGTACCCGACAACTGTAACGAATTCTCTGTAAAAAAAACATTAATGCTCATCAAAAGAAATAGGAGCGATAATATGTTTGAGGAAGGAGTGAGAAGAAAGTATATTTAGGGGTTGGAAAGTTGCGAACATTTTGAGATGGAATGTTCTGTTGCTTATTATTTGTAATTATGATTTAAATGTACACTCGATGGCTCATGAAATGCTTGATGAAGGAACATCAACATACCTCAAAATGAAATGGTATTTGAGTTGCATGAATTTTACATCAAAGTGGCTCAAATTTTGAATATCATCTAAATTGATTTTGTATTAATTGTAGATGAAAATTATTATTCAAAACCAACGCCTATTTTACAATCGTTGAATGCTCGAGGATGTCTTGTTGTAATAGATTCCATCGGAAATGAGTGGATTGGTTTCTCCAATAGTTTTAGTTTCAGGATGCTCTTCTTCAAGAACGGAATAGGCGTCCTTCCTTCGAAATACCGTTTTGACCTTGGTAGTAATGGACGTCCAAATGCCAACCCACACTGAAGGCTGTTGTTTCAATTCTGCGTAGTACTTTTGATTGTTCTTTCTGTACAAGATGTAGTGCTGAACAATAAATACAATATCGAACCCTATCGACAAAAATCCAAGTCCCTATTAAAACGTCATCATAGCAGCGATTGCATTGCAAAAATGTAAATTCAAAGTAACATTCAATGGTACTCAATACTCACAGTTTTAACAAAGTCACCATAGAAAGGACTCCAATCGCCTGTGTTGATTCCATCAATAATCATTTGAAAAATTGACAGAACACCGCCAGAAAAATCCAGTAAGATATTTCCAATGCTCCATCCAATAGTGAGCTTTCTCTTCCAATTAATAAATGCTTGTGGAATGTACTATTCATTTTATGTCATCTGTATAATTAAATAATTCAAGAATTCATACCTTAATAGTAGTAATAATCCTTCAAAAAAAGAAATAATATCACATAAAATTAATAATCATCATACTCTATCACCTACAATTTTACAATTCCCAAATATTTCAAAAAATCCACCCACATAATTCGATGCCCAAGCGCCAAAAACACTGCCACACAGATCGATAACATGATTGTTAGTGCGATTGACCGAGCCAAAACTGAAAGTGTTTGTCCTCCACGCTCATAAATTAATGTCTGAAAAATTGTGATCGCCGTTAATGTCACAGCATGAATACTAAAGACTACATCATTAATTTGCACATCAGCTTTTCCGTGGTAGATACGGTATTGCTCCTCTAATTCAGGATTCCAAAACAGAACACTGTTGAAAACCATGTACGACGAGTGGCCAATAATATTCAACATTAAGAAGTCAAAACTCAGTCCAACAACACTCTTTGTCCACCAGTTGAGAAAAACTTGAATGGAGTTTAACAATGACTGTGAGCTGATGTTACATACCTTGTGGATAAAAAGAAAGAGACCATGCTGCAAAATAGGACCATCCCACCTATAAAAGTGTTGTGTAATCATCAGTTCAATAATTTTGAAGTAAAAATCGGAATAAAAATCATCAAATTAAATCAACGATTTTTAAAAATCATTTTGAAAATTGCAATTCATTGATGTCAAATAAAACTGCCTTATGCAACAACTTTCAAACCTTCGGTGAAACGTACCACTTTGCTGAATATGGACAGACCTTCGGAAAGTATGGTCATTTTTTTTCTTCAAACTCGTGAATCAGATTTTTTGCGTTTGTGCATGAAGAGAATTTGTTCTTTCCAACGAAAGCTGGAGTGGAATTTCAATAGACAGGTTCAACGCTTCTGACAGTTCATTGTTTTACGCTAATCTTACCAACAAGAAGTGTTTACAAAAATACGACGTTTTTCAGGATCAGAAAAAATGCTCAACAACAACGCTCAAAGAAGACTGTTTTCAATCCGTGACCACTTGCTTTCATCTCGTGTTAATCAATTAGCGAATGCTTTTTCTTCAAGTAGTACCAACGAACAACACTCTTCAAATATTGTCTCCATCAGTGGTAGTACTTCAAAATTTTCAAGTGATCAAGCCTCGAGTTTTGATGATTATTTGGTGAAGGCTAAAATTCATCCCGATGTCAAGGATGCACTTGCTCAAAATAAGCCTGTTGTAGCACTTGAATCCACAATCATTAGTCATGGCATGCCATATCCAAAGAACGTGGAAACAGCAAAACAAGTTGAAGATCAAATCAGAAAGAATGGTGCAATCCCAGCTACGATTTGTATTTTGGATGGAATAATTCATGTAGGAATCAACGAACAAGAATTAGATAGATTTGGTAAATTAGGACAAGAAAAAAAGATAATCAAGGCATCAAGACGAGATGTTGCTCTTGTGTGTAGTCAAAAATCTCATGGAGCAACTACAGTCAGTGCAACCATGTTGTTGGCACACAGATTTGGAATTCATGTATTCGTCACAGGCGGAATCGGAGGGGTTCATAGAGTACTCTCTACCAACGAGGTTGATCCAATGGATATTAGCACAGACTTAACAGAATTAGGTATGTTTCAATTTGATAGAAACAACGGCTGCTGAAAATACTTTACAAAACGAAGGCCGAACTCCAACATGCGTCGTCTCAGCTGGAGTGAAATCAATTTTAGACATTCCAAGAACACTTGAATACTTAGAAACACAAGGAGTTACCGTTGCTTCATATCAAACTGATGAATTTCCTGCATTTTTTACATCAAAGAGTGGTTGCAAGTCACATTGTAGATTGGACTCTCCAATAGAATGTGCTAAATTGATTAGCGCTAATCTTCAACTTGGCCTTAATTCAGGTATTTTAGTTGCAGTTCCCATTCCTGAACGTTTGGAGGCCAAGTCTGCTCAATTAAACAGGGCAATAGAACAAGGCCTCTTGGAAGCAAAACAGAAAAATATCAAGGGAAAAGATGTGACTCCATTCTTATTGCAACGTATTAACGAACTTACTCAAGGTGACAGCCTTAGAGCAAACATCGAGCTGATATTGAATAATGCTCGTGTTGGAGCCCAAATTGCTGTTGAATTAAGCAAAATTCAACAAGTGAACGTAAGTATTCAAAGATATTTAAACAGGAACACTTTATTTTAAAAGAATATGTAATTGATCACAACATGAAGAATAAATATTGGAGTAGTCTACCCATTCACAGTGTAGATGATACGCACGAAAGACATTCAAACGAGCCAAACGCTTCGTTACTTTCTCGAGTAGCCTCAGCATTGTCTTCATCCAAAAGAGAAATCATAGTCATTGGTGGTTCAGTCATGGATGTAACATGTACACCAATGGAAGGTGCTAAACTCATCCTAAAAACATCCAATCCTGGTAAAATTGTTCTCAGCAACGGAGGTGTAGCTCGCAACGTTTGTGAAGTGATATCTCGTTTACTTTACTCAAGTTTAGACTCCACGAATCTTCCGTTGAATTTTATTACATCTGTTGGATCGGATGCCTTTGGACATTCTCTGAAAGAACATATTCGAAAAGATTTAAGAGTTCAACAACCTGAAAAAACCATTCTAGTCAACAAAAACAATAGGACTGCCATTTACAATTGCCTGATGGATGAAACTGGTGAGCTTGTAGCTGCTGTTGCCGACATGTCTATTTTGACAGACATGAATACGACAAAACATATCACACATACCTTGTCATACATGATGAAGGGAAAACGAGCTCCATTAATATTCTTAGATAGCAATTCTTCTGTAGAAGCGATGAATAATATTGGAAGTATTATTGAAAACACACATGCAGAATTATATTTGGACCCTACATCCGTTCCAAAATCAAAACATGCTGTGCTTTCTGGACTCTTACCTTTAGTCACATTTATCAAGCCAAACGAACATGAAATATTTAGTATTGTGGAGTGTTTTTTAGGAAAGACCATGAACAAGGATGAAATGAGTGTCGAGGACTGTCTTCAAATTTTGCTAACAAAGGCAAAAGTAAGACATGTTCTTTTAACCCAGGTAAGTTTAACATCATTATTTGACCGGTTAGATAAATGAGTGACACTCTCTTTAGGGACCTCAAGGTGTTAAGCATGCAACCCTTAAAAACGGACAAGTCACAATACAATCCTTTGCTGCCCTTCCAAAACGCCCTCATTTGTCAGAGCCCAATGCAAACGTGACCGGTTGTGGTGACAACTTTAGTGGCGCTTTTATATTTTCCAGGTTTTGTGGAGATTCAATTGAGACCTCCATCAAGAAAGGTTTAAGAGCATCAAGACTTGCTTTAGAGAGCTCTAAAAGTGTGTCAGATCGTTTAAATGCTCAATCCATTGAAAATGATTAATTCCACCAGTTTATGACACCTTTTGATAGTAAAAAAGAAACAGCAACCAATTGTTGTTAATATGTTTTTAAGGTTTTAGTGGTTTTTTTTTTGGAACACGAGAAGGAGCTGTGTGGTTACTTATCTATTCAATGCATGTGCTTGGGTTGTGATCGAATCTCATTGCAGGTCAGGTGTCGTTTATGGTTTCAAATCAATCATTGGTGAAACAACGCTGAAATTGAAAGTTCATATTTGTGCCAATAGGATCAACAGTGTTTGTTAACATCTTTCGAGAGATCTGGCACGAAGATGGAACCATGGTTCAGAGTTTTGAGCTCTCACACATGCTGGATTTTTGGCAAATCTCCCTTCCTTTCTCACCACAAGAGGTGAAATTCCTGCGGTGCCATGAATGATATGTCCATATGTTGATTTTTCACTCACAATCAAATCATCAGAATCCATCATTAAATATAAATCAATGAGAGCATGCTGCACAGCTTCTACAGAGCGAGATTTTGGAATGTTCTGAGGAAGATAGACCAGATGAATGGTGAGTCCAGGAATTTGTAGCTCCTCAAAAAATTGTTTCGCTTCATCAAAGGCAGGTGCATAATCACTCGTGAGAAATACTACTACCTTCTTGTACTTGTCAGCACTCGTACTGCGAATCTCCATGATACGTTGTTTAGCACATTCCCAATAAATACTCACTGGGGTGTTATGAAATAAATATTCTTGTTCATTCTTCCTGACTTGAATTCCTAATAAAAATGTGGATTCTGGATGATTGGTTTTGTCTTTGAGCATGGTTGTTTTAAAGTGATCCACTTTCTGTTGAATTAAATCAATAGGTTTGAACAATAGTGGAGCTAATTTGCTGAAAATATTAATTTGATAAAGTTTAGGACGTAGTTCCCAATCCTTATCTTTCTTTTCTAACTTGGAAAATAATTGATAATAAACATCATTATCAGCATACAGAGTTGGAGCAAAATATTGAGCTCCTTCAATTTCAATAAAGTCTTTGGAATTGATTTGATTAAATTTTTCATTTTCTGATTTTTGGTAAATACTTGTTGGTAACATTTGAGCAAAACCTTTACAACATTTAAAATATCGATAACCAGGTTTTGAACGATCATGATAGACAGTACTCTCTAAATGTAGCCAATTTTTTTCAATAAATGTCCATCTTTCGACTGGACATCCGTGTTGTTCAATGGATTTTTGTTTCACTTGTCCATAATTCCACACGAGTTCATGTGACGGCGATAAGAAGGATGGATTTTTCAAAAGTTGTGACAGAGAGGCATGACATCCCACTTCTCCTCCTTCCCAATTCACTAATAATACTCGATTACTTAGTAGGGCATATAACAATGTTGAAAATAGACCCATAATAATATTTCCATATCCGCTATACATGTGTGCTTTAAATACAACAAATTGTGGAGTTTTTGAAAATCCATTCAGTGCCTTTTCATGAAAACAATTCTTTGTAAATACATAGGATGAAAGTACCGAGTCATGATATTGTTGATATCGATACAACATTCGCTCAAAGGCGATCGGAGGAGGTCCATTTGAATGACTCGAGGAATATTCTGACGTGTAGGTGGCAATATTTAGAGTTTCATTGAAATAACTCGGAATGAACACTTTATGCGAGAAGGTTGTGTTTGAAGAGAGTCCTGACCTTCGAATGACGATATAGTAAATGACAAATAGGAATTGAAATAATACAAGAGAAATAAATCCGACGCGATACAAGAATACTTTCATTTTTTTAGGAGTAGTGACGCGAATGGTACAGGAGTCTTTTCAATGTTTTTATAAAGAATGATGATTCGTTGTGTGTGATAAAAACAATATATATATATTTGGTGCACATGATGATTTAAATGACCACAATTTACTACTCCAAATTAATGCTTGATGAGTGTTATTTTCAAATCTATTTTCAACAATAATTTAGTGCTTTCCTGACCATTCGTCCTTCATGACTGTTTCATCATCATTATGATCGGGTAAGTCGACGAATATATTTTCATCAAATTTAATTCATCAATATGTTATGAATAATTAATAAATGGCATTTGATGAATATGATTATCATCTTTTTTCTGAATCATCATCATAAAAACCTACATTCTGCATATTTCTCTGTTGAAGGTTTAAAATGTTTATAATAAAGTGGTTTAATAGCCCCATTAAAAAGCATATTAGCACCATAGAGTAATCCGAAAATTGAAACAACAACGCCCATCTTGGATTTAAATGTATCCAAGTCAAATCTACCTGGGCGGAAGAGCTTGGTTCTATCAAAGTATTTCGTTGTTTGATTTGTCATTTTTTCCATCATGGAAGAAGCAACAGTTATTGAATGAAGCATGTATTCCTTCGATCAACACCTCATTATTTCTGGTCCTAATCAATAACAAATTCAACCTCAAAAAGGATTTATCATTTTCCAATCGAAAAAAAACGTTTTAATCATGAGTTCAACAAACAACGACAACAACAACACGGAGAATAACACAAGCACCAATTCTTCAAACACAGAGCAACCACAACAACAGCAAAACTCCTCTGGCGCTCACCTTCCGTCCACAGAAAAAGTTGAGGAAATTCTAGATCAAATCAAGAACAAAACTGTGGAAGCATATAAAGTAGCCTCTGAGAAGACTGAGGATTTATACAAGGTTGGTTGAATTATTAAATTGTGGTAACAACTGAACTTGATTGTTGATGGTTAATACTTTCAATCTCACCCGCTAGGTGGCTGCAGAGAAAACCGAAGAGGCCTATCATTATTTAACCTCGGAAGAAGCAAAACAGAAATTACAACAGACAATGCAAACAACAACATCAACCCTCTCTAGTGCATATTCATGGTTTTCTAGTAATGTTTCTTCATTGGTTGGAGAAGCCTACGAACATGTTGGCAGTGCTTTAACAGGAAATCATCCTTCTTCTCAAGAAGCCCCAAAAGAAGAAAGCACCACTAGTAACGAAGAGAAAAAATAAGTTTTGATCGATCATCAAATTACATTTAATATTTATTAAAAGCGAGTTCCGTTCAACAAAATGGAAGGACAAGATTTGCAAAACCAGATGGTCAATTCTGGTGGCAACATTGATGTAAATAGAAAATTATATGCCCTCTTTAAACAATTAAAAGCTGTTTCGTCTCAATCTCGAGATTTCCATCATTCCGAGTATCCCGATTTTAAATACTCAGATCTCAACAATTGGTTATGGTTCATCAAAGTATTTCTCGTATTGTTCAACGTTGGTCTCTTTATTTACATTCTCTATTTGATGAAACGGAAGTTTACAAAACAAACAATTTTGAAGTTGGTTGATAGTCAAGCAACAACACTGGAGGATGATAAAAACACTAACCATATTCATTTAGAAGATGATTCTAAAACAACTAGTTCTTCTGAAAAAAGAGTTGGAATTATCATTTCTCATCCTGACGATGAAGCAATGTTTTTCACGCCAATTATTGCGTCACTGGTTGAACAGAAAATACCAATTCATATCTTATGTCTATCCACAGGAAATGTTTTAGGATTAGGCCAGGAACGAATTAGAGAATTGGAAAGGAGTTGTGTTGAATTGGGAATTTGTGATTCCAACACTGATTCCTCACTTGTTGTAAAATCTTTGAGTGACACATTCAAATCTGAAAATAACAAGATTGTCATTATCGATCATGAACAATTGAAAGATGGAATGAAACAAAAGTGGAACAGTGAATTGATTGGACAAGTGGTTTACAAATTTGTTCAAGAATTTAACATTTCAACAATTCTCACATTCGACGAGAGAGGAATTTCGGATCATCCAAATCATATTGCCACATGGAATGGTGTGAAAGAATTCAAAATAAGGTGTGAAAGAGAAAAATGTTTCAATGATGTTAATATTTTTCAATTAGAGACGACTGGTTTAATAAGGAAGTATCTTGGTGTGTTGGATTTGGTTATTAGTTTACACAAAAATGGTGATCACAACGTTACAATATTTACACCAAGTCCTCTTTTCGCTTGGAAAGCCATGCGCGCTCACCATTCTCAATTCGTGTGGTTCAGAAAACTGTTTGTTATCTTTTCGAGATATACGTTCGTCAATACGTTCACAAAATTGTCAAGTTAATTGTTTTGTGGAATTTTCTTGAGATTTCTCTTCTTTCGTTTGATAACTCCATTTCCTGATGAAGAACTAGAACTTCGTGTGTTTGGATTATCAAATTCTTTGAATACTGAGTAGTAAATGAACATAAAGTCTTCTCTCTTTAGAGATGGAACAATGTTGATCTGTTTTGATTTTTGAGCTCGATTCTTTAAAATTAAATTTTGCAATTCGTTCACATGATTCACAATCGTCATGTCATCAAAACCAATCAACATGGCGAGCTTTAAAAAATCATTTCTCTTGTTTGAATAATAACCCAAATCAAGATCTTCATGCTGTGACCATTGTTCAAAATCAGTGTAATAATCCTCTGACTCGTCTTCTTCAGTCATGCCCTCTAAGAGATTGGAATGAGATCCATTTAACTTTTGATCCATCATGGATAAAATACTATTGGATGAACTGTTGTGACTCGAGTTTCCAGAGGATGAATTCAAAAGAGAACCTCTAATTCCAGTCGTGGATGTCTTGTTTGGTGAGTGATGGTTGTTTTGATGATGATGATGATTATACACTTGAAATTGAGCATCTTCAACTTGTTGCATTTGACTCTCTCCACAAAACACATCATAGACAAATCCACCAAATTGATATAAAAATTTGGTTAATAATTTTCCTTCTCGACACACAAACAAACACAAAAACATGTAAACACTCTCAATGGTAATTGTTCCTTTTCCTTTCACATCCAAAATGTCAAATAAATCTAATAGTTGATATTCATCAAAGGAGAGTCTATAATAATCATCATCATTTTCAAGGTCACTGTTATTACTTGTCACGTCAACGAGTAGTACATCATTGCTAGTGGAAGTCGAAGGTTGAAGATGGAGATGTATGTTATGATGAAGATTGGAATGACCATTGGTTGCCATGTTAGAACTCGTGTTGAGTGCAATAGTAGAAGAGATGGTATTCATTTGGGAAGAAGAATGACCGTTAGAAGCTTGTGTTAATGATAATTTGGAGAGTGAGGATGCAGTCGTAGTAGTAGTCATAGTCGTCATAGTCATACCAGCAGTAGTAGTAGTCATAGTCGTACTACTGTTCGTAGAATGATGATGACTCACGGATGGAGTGTTATTTGTGATCATCGTTGTGGTCATGACTGATGATGGATGATGATTCAGACCTCCACTACTGCCACTACCACCAAAATTGCCAGTACCACCAAAATTACCACTCGAATGATGATTCATACTATTCATGGATGGTCTCAAATCATTCATCATTCCTACAAATGTATATTCGCTAATCGATAATTGTTGAAATCGTTTTCTCACAATAGGAAATGTTGAAGTTGCTGTTCGATGTGAAACTCGACCACTGTTACTATTTGAACCACTGCCACTACCACCTCCATCATTATCAGAAGATGTTGGAGAACGAGGAGAATTTGAGCTCACCATATTCTTGATGTAATTTTGAATAAATTCAAAGAATGAAGTATAACCTTGTTCGGAAGTCATGATGGAATACAAAGCAACACACCCTTCATGATAATCGTCTTTGTTTTTAGAGTTGAGAAGGAGTTTTAAGAGTTGTGTTTGTTTGGTGGGTTCAAGTTTGGATGAATAGATTTTGAGAAAGATGTTTTTCAGCATTTTTTGTTTGGTTTTTTGAATCATTTGACAGGTGACATGTTGGTTTTTGAGAGGTGTCATCCATTCTAGAAATGATTAAGGACAGCACTCTTGTACTGTCAATTGAAACAACATACCGAGTTATAAGGCTCTGTCGAATGTACATGTCTTTCCAATGCAACCTTCACCGGTTCTTAGATATCAATGGCTTCTTTATTCAAAAAATCATTTGCAAAATATTTTGTGTACATCATACTAGTAACATCAGAATAGGTAGTTCTAGAAATATTTTAAAAGTCGAATGGGTTGTTGTTGGAGGGTGGTGGATTGCTTCCTGGTCTATTTTGAGTGCTTGTGTTTCCGAGTCCTGTCAAGCCACTGAATGGGTCTCTATTTGGTGGTGGAGAGTCTTGAAGGTTTCTCTTTTGAGGAGGTTGATTTCCCCATTGCGGTGGAGACTGACTACCCCATTGTGAAGGTTGACTCATTGAGGATGGCTGGCTACCCCATTGTTGTTGATTTCCTCCCCATTGTTGTGATGTCTGTTGACCTCCCCATTGTTGTTGAGGTGGTTGGTTGCCCCATTGTTGTTGTTGGCCACTTCCCCATTGTGGTTGTTGACTCATTGAGGATGGCTGATTACCCCATTGATGTTGTTGTGACATTCCTCCCCATTGCTGAGACTGACCTCCCCATTGTTGTCCACTTCCCCATTGTTGTGATGGTTGAGAAGGTTGATTTCCCCATTGTTGTTGATTGCCACCCCATTGTTGTGATGTTTGTTGGTTTCCACCCCATTGCTGTTGATTTCCACCCCATTGTTGTTGTGGAGGTTGTGGATTGCCAAATCCAGCAAATAAATCATCGACATTAATAGTTGGTTTGGATGGTTGAGCACTTGTTGTTTGAGGTTGATTAGAAGGGAAGCCCCAGTTATCATCATTACCAAAAGTATTATTTTGAGAAGTGTGTGATGGTATAGTTGAGAAGAAATTATCCAATCCTCCTGCATTGGTGTTTGTGGTTGGTTTTGTAGCAGGTTGAACAGGTTTGGGTTCATCAAATGAAAAAAGATCAGTGGATGGTTGTTGTGGTTTCACAGGATTTGATCTTGTAACTTCAACTTTTTGTGGATTTGGAATAATATTTTCGATGGGTTGTACAGGCACTTCTTCAACAGATGATGATGGTTTGCTTGTTGGTACACTTCCGCTAGCATCATACCACAGCTTTTTTACATAAGTTTTTTCAATAAAGTCCTTAATTCCTTTCTCGTCAGTGGATTTTGGTTTTGGGACCTTGGTTGGATCCCATTTTGCTCTCCATGTGGCTTGAGCAACTTTGTTTCCGTGTGTTTCAAAAAACTCTACATCCTTGTCTTCAAAGTTTGTCATGGAAATTCCTTTAGCCTTGAAGTTGAAATTACGGCTATATAGGTTGTTAGTGTTTGATTTGAAAGTAGGAGAATAAACAGTAGCAGATTGATGAGGGAGAAGTATCAGTAAAAATAAAGAATCCGTGATGATCATCAATGTGTAAATAGTCATCACTTTCTTCGGTGATAAAATCACCACTACTTACTGTACACCTGAGCAGAAGGTACAAACGAAAATTCCAAAGTCCATGATGACGTAGGGAGTTCCCTTTACAACGCAGTCCATACATTCCTTGTTATCGTTGAGGAGAGACAGCTTACGAATAGTTTCTTGGTTTCGCTCTTGCTTTTTCTTGGCGCTCATTTTTTTTTGTTGTTGTCTTGTCGTTGTTATTCCGAGAGTGATGTGAAGGAAAACGAAATCGGAACCTCTGAAGTGGCAATGAGGTGGAAACAAGTCAAGTTGATCAACACATATCAGTGGGGGAAAAACAGAAGACAGCAGTGTAAACGTTGTTGGAGTACAAGTTTTCGTCATTTTAATATAATTATAATTCTCATTGTAAAGATGCTGGCTCGGTTGACCAAACTTTAGAAAAAATTTCGTTGAAAAAAATATCATAACAAGTACGTAATATTTTCTCTCTCGCGCTGAAGCATTGACACTTTCAAACAGATGGCCAAGTCAAAGAACCACACTGGACAACACGAAAGCAAGAAGAACCATAGAAATGGTATCAAGAAGCCAAGAAAGGAAAGAAAGTCCACAAGCAAGGGTATCTATCGTCCATGGAAGACTAACACCAAGTATGCCAAGAAGGGAACCCTCAAGGCTTTGAAGGAAAAGGCTCAAAAACAAGAATAAATCTATTAAAACAACAAATTATTTAATACATGTATTACATTTAAATAGAGTTCAAAACATCTGCGTACATCTTTCTTTCCTCTTCCAAAAATCTCTCCAGTTCTTCTTGTTTTTGTTTCTTTGTTCGATCAACTTTGGCACGAGACAATCTTTGTCTGACCATACATTGGATCTTTACAGCTGCAACATTTTGCTTCTTCAATTCTGACGAAGCTCTTCTTGCTGAACATGCTCTCCAAAGAGTTTGAATATTAAGGGTTGCACGTTCAAGTTTAAGTTGCTTTCGTTCTTGTTTGGCTTTTTCATATTCTCTTCGTTCTTGTTCCAATTCCAATTCGAATGAGCGTTTTCTAGCTTCTGCCACTGCAGACGCTTTTTTTGTTGCCAAGAACAACCTTATTTGGGATTGAATTTTGATCGATGCTTGCTCTCTCTTTCTTTCCATCTCCTTGTCATCAATTTCTTGAGCTTCTGACTTGTTAAGGGAAACAAGTTCGGCCGACACTGGCTGCTCTTGGTCAATCGGTTTCTGAGATTCCTCCTCTTCGTCGTAGTTAGCTAACATGCTATGTTCAAAGGTCAGTTCATCGAATTCCTCTTTGATTTCCTCTTCTTTTTGGAGTCGATTGAGTCGCTCTTCTTTGAAACTATTCAGAGCTAAAATTCTTCGAATTAGCGCTTGCATACAAGTCACGAGTTGTTTTTCTTTTTTCACACTCTCCACCTTTTTCTTAGCTAGGTGCATTCTTACTTGTGACTGAATCTTTACAGCGCTACTGTTAGCTTTTTCCTTCTCTTTTCTCAAATAATCGATCATATCCATACGCGCTTTACAACCTCTCACAACCGCTTGAATAATTAGTGAAGAATAATGACGTTGCTCCTCTCGCAGTTTTTCTTCTCTTTTTCTTCTTGCTTCTTCTTTTCTCTTGATTTCTTCTTCTCGAGCAATTCTGTCGTGTTCTTCCCTCATCCTCCTTTCTAGCTCTTTATCCTGAGCTGATTCGTCGACCATTGGTGAAATGGTGACCTTTTCATGACTTGTTTCGTGGTTACGGTGTGCTGGATATTCGTCTTCTTCTCCACTTTCGTTGCCTGAGTTTCTTCCCTCTGAGAAAACAACAGATTGAGCAAACAGAATTCTCTCTCGAAGAGGGTCGTTGTCACCAGGAGTTGACTGTCTTAATTTTGACAAAGGAGGGAGAGAAGCACTGTTGAGATAGGGAGATGGGTCAAATTTTGGTCGTTTTCTATTAGCGTTTGTTGGAGATAGTTGACTCTTTTTATCAGCAAGCTGTGAGCCCTTTGGGGAGATGCCAAATTCCACACCGCTCATAAGAAATGGATTCTTTACAGGATTAATATTGGGTAGTAGGGAAACAAGCGATGATTTCAAGAAGAAGTCTAAATCGGTTTGGATTTTAAGAAGATAATTCTTTGATCTCCAAACAAATGGCTTGGGAGCTTGCAAAATATTTCTCCAATGTACAATTGCTTCAACAATGTCTAAGGTACAGAGGCGGAGTGAAGCAGCAATATTTTTCACTTCTCTAGCAACGAGGTGTTTGCTAAATATCTTTTCGTCTCCATATCTTTCAACCAAAGAATTGAGAGTTTCTAACAACAGTTCTCTGTTTTCAATGTTTTTGAGAATGGATAGAATGAGGTGTCTTTGTTCTGTTAACCTCTTAATCTCTTCTGAAATAATTGCTAGATTGTCATTTAAGCATTTTGAAAGGTATATTTTAGAAAACTTTTCTCGTTCTTCTTCTGGAACTCGTAGCTCACTCCATAGTTTTTGAATTCGAGATTTTGCTTTTAAAAAGAATTGTTCTGTTTCAATCTCTGCTAATGATTTCTTTTGTTCTAAAGGGGGTTTTTCTCTTGTTTTGGTTCCTTGATCGCTCAAAATCGACTTGTCAGTATTTTTCTTTCGGCTTTGCTGACCTGTTGTAACTTTTCGAGGTTGAAACTAGTGTCATGGTGAGTAAAAAGAGTTAATTCGATAAACCTGTTACATACCTTATGCAAGCTGTCGTCTACTCTGCTGGACGCAACGTCGTATGCTGTTTTTTTTGACGATCGTGATGTCGAACCATTTGTAAGGAATGTGGTAGAAGTTGTGTACATTTTGGCATGTTTGTCTGTGAGAACGTTGTAGGAGGGCATGGGATCAAGATGAAACCGTGAGTTCCATTTCTTCTCTCTCTCCTTTTCAATAATTTTGCTTCGTTCCTTTTCCATGGCATTGAACAATCGTTCATAGATTAAAGAATTATTGCTTTGCATTAGTACATCATCATAAATTTCGTTTTCCATTTGAACTACTCGACTTTTTGACATCGGAGAAAGATATCTTCCCTCTGTAATATTGTAGAAAACGTATTAACTCTTCCTCCTAATTTATACTTGCTTCATTCAAACTTACTGCTTCGGTGAGATTGAGCTGGGGAGGAAATATCATCATCAATTGATTTCAAAGACACCGGACGCTCATTGGCGTTGTTGTTATTTTCTATTGAAATTGATAGATCTGTCCTTTTTCGAAACAGAGGACTCTGATGCCTTCCGCTCGAGGTCGAAGCTGATGAATTTACCATGTTATAGCGGGCTTGATAATTACGACTCAGAGCCCAATATGCTCCTTTAATATTATGATCCGCTCAATAGATGCTTATGCAACAAACAATAATACACTTTCTAAGGGTTGTATTGAAATGTTGAGACCCAAACGACGCACTGATATTTTTTCAAGGCTGCTTGCTAGGGTTCATTCAGCCATCGAAGAGATATTCCAAGGAGAGGTAAGGAGAGAGAGAATGAACGGGCTACTCCTCCAAGGAATATCAAAAAAGAGATGTGTTGTTGTTGTTGTTGGTTTTTACTCTTCATTGTAGTTGGGTATGGCGCTGAACTTTGATGGCCAACGAGAGGTCTACTTTTTCTCCAAGAAAAATGCAAAAATGAATTTCTCATCGTCTCAACACAACCACCATCGAAGAGGCTTGTCTTCTGCACCATCGGAAGGGACCGTATCGTTAAACAATATTCTAACACAACTTTTAGTAGGAAACAATCCTTCTAAAAATATATTTATTGTGCTCTTATCAAGCATTCTTTCAATATATTTAACACAATACACAACAAAGAAAATTAATTCATTTCGGAAATTGATGAGTGAAAATCCATTGTTTTTAGTTTGGGGAGTTTTGAATGTATTAAGTGGGCGGAAATTCTTTGATAATTTAAATAATAATAGATTGTCGTACAATGATACAAATAATGATGTACGGCAAACTGAATTAAAATCAACAGGTCCAAGAAAAAGGTTGTTTAGTTTATTTTCGAGGAACAAACAAATTCAACACGTGGATGCAAAACCAAAAACAATGATCGAGGAAACGTTACAAATTGATGAAGACGAAATTGATGAAGACATTTATTACATTAAGCTATATCGTCAAAAGAACGCAAAACAGGCAGAGAACACCATCCCAGTTGTAAGTATTTTGGCATTCATTGATTTAAATTTTAAATTGCAAAAAGAATTTGGGTCAACTCGCTGTTAATGCAGGAACGTTGTTCACAAGAGTCAAGCAATACGTCACAGCCGAAGATATTTTAGCGCAGAATCAAAGTCGATCAGCAACTAATAACAAAACCACAGAATTTACAGAGTATTTCATCAATGCCCCAAATGAAACCTATCATAGAAAGGGAAATTTCAATTTACCAGCTTATGACACATTTCAAACTAGCTCGGAGACTGTGCTTCCTAAAATATAAAAGTGAAATTTGTATCAATACCCATGGTCACAACTAATATACATTCTACAATGAATAATTTTTAATGTGGCATTATTATTCATCTGCACCATAGAATTTAGCGGCTGATTCAAGACATTATCTATTTTTTTCTGACATTTTACGGTATCAAGATTTGAGCAATTTTCCTCTTGGTGCTCAAAATATGTTTTGGATGGTCAGGAGCATTATTTGTAAGTCGCTGCACCAACAGCTTTTGGATACCACTTTTTTGAGCCAGGTGGGTTCTCCTCCCATTCAAAAGCGCTCATATTTTTTGTTTCGTTGAATATCATTGAGAACTCACCAACCCTCGTAATTGTTGCATTTCTTGCACTAGTTAAATTGATACAATTCTTTTGCCATAGCTGAGTTTGAGCTCCAACAATTTTAATTATGTCTCCTCCGTTAATGTAATCTGCTTTATGGTTCCATAAACTTAACGTTATAAAAGCAGTTTCATCAGCAACAAGAAAATTGGTTATATGATGATTGTCTTTTGTCTTGATCGTGTTTTGCCGCTCCAAAACAATAAACGTAATTGTAAAATCATTCATCATTGGTTTGAGATCAGCTATTTTATAATACTTTTGTTGTCCGTTATCGATATTTTGCTGACTACTCATGTTCGGAGTTTGTGCATTGGAGGGTGGAGAGGGTCTTCTATTGGCTGATGGTGATACAGAAGTGTTGATGCTTGGAATGTTTTGCATTTTTTTTAATGTTTATAAAACAACAATGTTTGTACTGTCGCACACCAACCCTAACCATGTTATTTCATGAAACATGGATTCACTTGGAATACCACATTTTGATGTATTCGTTCACTACGAGCTGTGATGATCAGATGTTAATTTTGCCATGACAGTGGACGGGCATCACCCAAACCTCATTAAAATCAAAAAAAATTTTTTAAATTATTATTATTTTTACCATCAAGATGAGCACGGACCCACAAGTTTTCTTTGAGACGGTACCACAACAACAAGAGCAAGATATCTCGTACCCAACCTACGAACAAGTCAACAACGATGGAGTTCAAGATGATCAACAAGACTCTTTCCCAACACTTCCTGCTTCTCAGCCTCATCAAGTCCAGAATCCAGTTGTAGATTCTGATGAGCCTACTGTAAGTCATCCGTTCTTCTAGAACGAATCCAATATCGAAAAATCTTTCAAATTTGGATGGTTTTGATATCAACAACAATTAATAATCCAATGATCATCGACCATTCATGAAATAATATTATTACTAACTTAGTTCATATTCTCTGTGAGCGAGCCTGAGAAAGTAAGCACAGGAAAGACCTTTGAATTGTCCTATTGGATGTACAAGATCACTGTGGATACCAAACTTGACCAATACAAACAACCAACTTTGATTTGTCATAGACGATATAATGACTTTGTTTGGTTTAGAGAGTTGTTGGTTTCCAACTATACTGGAATTGTTATTCCACCATTACCAGAGAAGAGTATTCTCGCATCTGTGTAAGTTTACAAGTGTGTGTGAAATTGATTACAATAATTTTCTTATTCGTTCCCGATGGTAAACATGATGATAAAATTTTACATGGACAATTTGATGAATATATTTCACAATACTCCTATCGGTCGCGTTGTCACAACACGTCCATCATTTTTGCTACGATCATTTATTCTAACACTTGATAGAGAAAAAATCTTTTCTTCAGTAGACACCAATTCTCTTCTAGAGTACAGACAACGTGCCTTGACCAAGTTTTTGACTCGAGTTGGTGAACATCCTGTTTTGCAAACATCTATGGAACTTCAGCAATTTCTCGAGTCATCTGAAGAGGAATTTAACGTATTAAAGAATACCAAGACCAAGTCTTCAAAGAGTGGTGGATCATCATTTTCACTTTTTAAAACTAAAAGCGCTACACCTGAACCCGAGTGGATTACAAATCACAGAAAGTTTATTGACAAGTTAGAAAGTGCACTGAAAGAATTAAGACAGAAATTGCAAACCATGATTACAAGAAGAAAAGAAATGGCATCTGCCTTTTTGGAGTATGGAAAAGCATTCATGACCGTCGGTAATATTGAAAAGGAATATGATTCAGCAAATTCATTGGCTAAAAATCTTCTAGATGTTGGTCAATCTGCTGAACAATTGAGTAAGGTCACTGATGACCAAGCTCAAAAAGAAACAATGCAAGTTATTGAGACATTGACTTATTATTTGGGAATGTGTGAATCCATTAAGCACACTGTATCTCAAGTTGAGGATCTCAGAAATGAGAAGGATAGTGCTCAAGCTCATTTAATTTCTCTTCAACAAGCAAAAGAAAAACCAAATTTGAAAGAAGATAAGAGACAACAATTGGAGGCTCAAATCGAGCAAGGTCAAACCAACTTGAAAAACAAGACTGACAAACTTGAGTCATCCGAAGCTTCATTCAAGAATGATTTGGAGCGTTTTGACTTGGAAAGAAAGATTGATTTTAGTTGCATGTTACAAAGCTTCCTCAATTTACAAATCGAATATAATCAAAAGTTACATGAATGTTGGTCTGATAGAATCCCACAAGTCAATGCCTCTATTTATGAAGAATAAACTTCATTGACATTTTCATTTTTCGTACACGCACACACCATCACTTCTTGTGTGTTCATGGAAATTATCTCAAAGTGATGGTGGTGTGATAGGATCCGAATATGCAGTTCGTACGAGAACGAGTAACCCTGGTGCTGTCTGTTTTCATCAGCCAACACTCTCTACCAAAGGTTACACATATGATCTCCTTTGAATTGGATTTGTCTTCTCAGTATTGCACCGATCAAAAGATTAAGGATTCTCCGCGAACAGAGGATTAGATTTTTGAGACATTTCAAAGACTTGGAACAACCAAACCCATTGTTATTACCACACACAACTGTCACTTCTCACTCTATTTGACATTTCAAAACAGTAGTTTCAGTTGGAAGAGCTCGCACGCTTGGCAACAACACACATGTGCATTCTTCATGGTTCCTACAACTCTTGTGACTTTGCTACATGAATGTATGAGTATGTTTCTGAATAGAAAAAACATGTATATATGTTGAAATGACTTTCATGAATTGACACCCGCCTGTGGATGCATGCCAGTCATTTATGGATATTTCCTTAAAATGTAGAGAGATGAAGCGATTCATTCCGTAACCGTATTATCCAAATGATTAAGATAGTAATTTAAGAGTTCAATTTAGTCCAACCATTACAAGAATAACGACATTTTTAGAATTGATGGTCGCCAAGCCCTAGCAAGCAGAATTCTGTCGACGACACACAGCTCAACGTGTGTGTTTGGATGCTGCAGCGTCAACATCAACAACACCAAACACCAACAACAACAACAACCACACGACCACACACAAAATTTGCTTCTTGGTTTGCTCATTGCTCTTCATGAAGAGTGTAGCTTTAGAAAGATTCCAACATTGACAACAAGCAAAAAATTAGACCGCTCTGAGTAACAATCAACATCCATCGTTGTCATCATCAGACCAACAGTTTAGTGCTAACGCCCAGATATCTTGTGAGTTTAAGACATTCCATTTCTTATCGAATTGAGACTCAATATTATCCTTTCTTCACACTACTCAGATAACATTGTTATCTTGTTTACAACCATCATCATCAAAGACAGAAATTATCATCATTAGTAAGCCTAATAGCATCATCATCAATATTACCTTACTCTAGTGACTGATAGTATTTATATCAACCAACGAAAAGACCACATTCACTACTATTGACGTTTCATAACCCCACTCTAGTGTTACCATTGTTGTGTTACTATTCTTCTAGTGTTTACAGACTACTATTATTCCTTGTGTTGTTACAACTATTGTGTTCGATATATAGATATTTATATTACTAACCTTTTCAAACAGAATGAAATCTTCAACCACCAATGCAGTTGAGCAATTACCCTTTCATGCCTCTCATTCTCTCTCAGGTGCTCCAGAACGAATAGAGGAGCCAACGAATTCTAACAGTGGATTTGACTTTTTCTCTTTTCCAAACTCGAATCCATTCATGTCTCCTTCTGATACTGGAGTGAGTAATCCTTTTCTCTCCTCCTCAGGTGTAATGCAGAGTGGAAGTAGTGGAGGCGGTGGAGCAGGAGGCCAACTGTCCAATCCATTTGGTCTCTCTTCTCCCAACTTTACACGAGAACGAAGATTGTCTTCCATCTTTGATTTGGAGAATTCTCGAGATTCAGACATGATGTTAGATCGGAACAAGAGTTTAAGTGCCTTTTCATTTGGAGGAGCAGGTAACCTTGCTACTGGAGAGAATAGTAATCAATCCTTGATGGGATCCTCCAAAGTTTCAAAATCCCAGCTATTAACTCAACAACAACAAATTACATCGTTTGATCAGGCCATTCCTCTTCTCAATACCTCAAAGAGTGGAACTGGTATGAACAATTCAACTTCATATGTGGATCCATTCCCTTCTGAGCATTCTCTCTTCTCGTCATGTTCCTTCTCCATGAATGCATCTAAAGGTGGACTATTAAGCTCTCCCACTCCAGCAGGAGAGCAAACCACCGCAAATTCTACTGGAATGACTTCCTTTGTTCAGGCAGCCGTAGACAAAAGACAACAACAAGGAGTCGTTCTCTCCAGTGGAGGTATTGGAACAAGTCTATTGGAAGAGGCAGAGTTTTCCAAATCATCATCTTCCTTTCCTTCACCTCCTCAATTCGGTACTTCGACAAGGAAAGGTACCTCGTCAGTTCCACCCCCACCCAATATGATGCCTTTAAGCATGACCAGTAGTACTCAACCATCGGCGACGGGAAGCAAGCAAACCCAGCAACAACAGCAGCAGTATACGTTACTTCAGGAGGGTCAATCCTTCTCTCCACTACCTCCTGGATCTACCTCCAACGCTCAGCAGCAGCAGCAAAATATGCAAAATCTCTTTTTCCAATACATGTCGAATCAAAGTGCTGCTGCTGCTGCTGCCACTCAACAAGCCTCAGGTGTACCTCAAGGAACTGCGGGCAATATTGCTGGTGGTTCAACGACAGGTGCACCTTCGGGTGGAATCACTCATCAACCCTTCATTTGGACTTCTGCACTCTATCCTCAATCTGCTACTGGAGGCGATGCAAATCAACAACAAATGGGTCCTTCTTCTCAACCACCTGGTGCATTCACCTTCCAAGATCAAGTTCAAATGATGAATCAACAAATGTTGCAACAAGCAAATGCATCTGGAGGAAATAGTACTACCGATTTCCTTAATCATCCATCCACTGCTGGTGCGTTTATACAGAATTATCAATTACTCAACCCAAGTGCTGTAAGTTACAGACAACATGCACAAACCTACTCGAGTGGTAGTAGTACCACAGGATTCATGGATGCTGCTACCTTGCTCTCTCAACAACATCAGCAAGGTGGAATCTACAAAGGAACCTCCACTCCATTGCAAATCAATACCACACCCTCAGCACTCTCTCAAACTCAGAGATCCATTCTTGGAAGTAGTTCTCTGCCAGGTATTAGTATTGGTACTCCTTCTACTCCATCGCCTCAACTTGCTCAATCCTCTTCACCTCAAGATCAATCTGCAAGCAGCTCTGGAAGAAAACGAAAGAAACAACAAGGTACCACTACCACCACCACTACGCCTCAACAAAAATCGACCTCTCGATCATCCAAAAACAAGACCAATGAAAGTGTCTCTTCTCAGAATGTCGTTGCTACCACGAGTGGTGGTGGTGGTGGTGGTGGTGCACCACGTGAAGCTAAAAAAAGAAGAAAGAATGTAGTGGGTCATTCGACCGAGTCTGAACTCTCAAATCATGGCATACTCTCCTCAGGAGTTGGAGAAGAGAATAGTAGAGAATTAATCTATTCGAAAGAAATGCAAGGCTCATCCTTGAATCCATCCTCACTAGAATCAGGAGGAATGGACTCTCAACATGCCTTTGATCATTCTCAACAAGGTCTCATGGAAGAAGATGATTCCAATGATGCAAATGGTCAAAAGAAATTCTGTTTTAGAAATTTAATTGTTGAAAAGAGTTCTCAAAAGATGAAATTTGTAAATTCAGATATTAAGGAAGAAGGAACAAATCAAGGAGCATGGTCCGAGAGAGAACATCAAGCATTCTTGAAAGGTCTTCAAGAGTTAGGTTATGGAAAATGGAGAGAAATTGCTGATCGTTACGTTAAAACTAGAACTAGAATTCAAGTGGCATCACATTCTCAAAAGTATCATCAACGATTAGAAAGACAAGCAAGAAAGAAGAAGAAACAACAACAAGCAAAGAGTGGAAAGAAGAATGGAGATGGTGTGGATGAGGAAGGAGCAAGTAGCTCTACTCACTTGAATCAATAAATTATTCTTGTTTCCAATCTAAACAAACAATATTTATTACATCCATTTTCAAAGTACAAATTTTAAATCAAAGGCAAAAAGAAGTCGGAAATTGAAGGTTGCTGAACTTTGGGAGATTGTGAACTTGTCACTTCACAAAAAAATGTCTTCACAACCCTCTCAGAACACTTCATTCAATCTTCTGGTGATTGACTACAATCAATCGGAACAGAGTAATTGGTATAAACTCTTTTCTAATTGCGTCACTCAGAAAGGTCAAAAGATTCAAGTTGAACAAGCAGGGTGGGAAGAAATTAAACTAGTTTCGAATAGTGATTATGGACCACTCTTGGAATTGAAAGGAAAGAATGATTCCATATTTAAACAACAGAGACAAGATCGAAATTTTACACCACATTTTGTACTCGTTCGCAACTTTCCAAGTGCACTTCATACTGAATCATATCGAAATGTATTGCTTGGATTAATGTTTGCAAGTATGTATTTAATATATATACTCTATGATTTTTTGATCATTACAAATCTCTATGATTTTACAAATACATCCATAATAATAATGATCATTTTATAAATGTACAATGATTGGACAATGTGATTGGACACATTCACTTGTGAATCATCATCATGATAATTTCACTATTTCAGATGTTCCAGCAGTGAATTCTTTGGATTCTATCTACATGTGTAGTGAAAAACCGATTGTTTATGGAAAGTTAAAGGAAATTCAAAAGAAATTAGGAGGATTTGAAGCATTTCCTCTCATTCCACAAATTTATTATCCAAATATTAGAACTTGTGATTGGTTTGAGGAAAATGAAAAGGTATGATTTGATTGTAAATTTAAATATAATACATCTTTGAAAATACTATTTAACTATATATTGACAAATGTATTGTCCATATTGAAATTAACCTTAAGACACTTCCTCAACAATTTCCTGTTGTTTGTAAGATTGGAACGGTTCATGCTGGATTTGGTAAACAAAAATTAGACACCAAGTCACAATTTGATGATTTTACAACTGTATTGGCTCTCTACAAGGATTATTTTACATGTGAACCATTTTGTAATGTTGAGTATGATTTGAGATTACAAAAAATAGGAGATCACTATAGAGTGTATCAACGAAGTAGTGATTCTTCATGGAAGAACGTGAGTATTCACTTGTCACTCATTTTGATCATGCTGCTTTCTTATTTACAACAATTGCAAATATATGAAAAATATTATTGATTGCTTTTATAATCCATTAGAATTGGGGAGCCATGAAATTTAAACCTCATGATACCATTGAGGAGAGATACAAGTAAGTTATGAAGTGAAACCACACCAATGATGAATATTCTATCATGTTTAGAATATGGATGAATGAAGTTTCTAAAATGTTTGGTGGACTCGATATGTTCACATTGGACGTCATGAAATTGAAGGATGGAACAGAGAGAATTTTAGAATTGAATGACTCATCGATGGGATTGTTATTTGATTTTGAAGCAGAAGATAATGCACATATTGTGGAGCTTGTTATGAAAAAAATTAATGATTTGCCTCACGTTTAGTATTCCTTATTAATAAATGATTCGAAAGAAAACCACCCCGCCAAAATTCGTTACACTATTTTAAAACATAATTACAAAAAAAATGGAGTTTGCATCACCCTCCTCGGTGTACTCAGTCACAGGTGGAAGAAGTCAGTCCGTCTATGCCACCCATATTGCTCAATCCACAAAAATGGGAGGTAACAATGCAAAAACAACCCTATCGTCGGGAATGAACACTCACCTAAGGTCTCCCCTTAATGCTGGAACCCTTCATTCTGTGTACGGAACTCCCTATTCATCTCGTGGTGGTTTTGATGACGAAGACCTATGCTCACCTCAACTTCCAATCTCTTCGGAGAAGAAATCAACATGCGTTTCGCCCAAAATGAAGTATACTTTGGACAAAGAAAACAAACCTCCCTCCAAAACCACTCTTTCTCATAACAATGAAAAAGGAAAGTTAGATTATGAGATTGCTTGGAGAGATGAAAAGATTAAATTGTTGGAACAGGAACGATGTAATCTGAATTCTAAAATTGAAGATTATGCAAAACAAAATTTAAATTTGAGAGAAGAATTACGAAAATTGCAAACGAACACACCCAATTCTGCTGACGAGTTAATACAAATGCGACATGAACGAGATTCGATCCAAGAATATGCTGAACAAATAAGGCAACAAAAAAACAATTTACAAGAACAGCTCAACCTGATCAAGCAAGGAAGCAGCACTGTTGAAAAGGAATTAGAAAGAAGAGGTCATGTTGTTCAAACGCAAGAAAACCAAATTAAGGAAATGTCAACACAGCTCGAGTACTATCGACATCTGTCGGAGCAACTTCAAGCGGAAAAAGAAAAAATGCAACAAGACATGATAGAATCACAAACAAGCTTACAAACCAAGATTGCAGAATATGAAGAACTAAATGGAGTTCAGGAAGAGTTATTGAGAGCGATAACAGAAGAAAAAAAGAAGGCGTCAGATCTGATAAAGTCACAAGCAAGTGACAAGTCACAAATTGAAAAACTGAAGAAGGAAAATGAAAGATTGGAACTATTAGTGGATAAGTTGCAGTCTGACATGAAAAGAGACCATCAAGAAATCTATAATCAAAAAATTCTTTTTAATTCAACGATTGAAGATACCCAGAGGAAGCTGCAGGATGAGATTGCTAAAGTAAACAAGATGTATGAAGAAGCACGAAAAGAGATTGAAATGAAAGACAGTATCCTCTCTAGCCAACAACAGGCAAGTCAACAGAAAATCTTGTCTCTAACCGATCAAATACGGGATCAAATGGATAAATATGATAGAAACATCACTTTGCTCAAACAGGAGGAAAGCAACGAGAAAAAGAGACATAATACACAAGTTTCTAAACTTAAAAAGGAATTACACTCAAGTATGGAAATGATCAAGATGCTCAAGGAAGCCAACAAAAATTTGGAAGACAACTTCAATCAACACCAAAAAATCATACAAGCTTTGGAAGAGAGGTTGGAAAAGGAGAAACAAGAAAAAGAAGAGCTCAACGAGAATTTGGATATCCTCAAAAACAAACTGCCAAAAATGTTGCACCTTCTTGAGGAGTAACTTGTAATAACACAGTAATAAATTTATTAATCTTGCTTAAGTAATGCAAGTGCTGCTTCTTCATCCTTCGAGGTAATTGGTTCTTTGGCGACTTGGAATGCAGAAATAAGTGCCATTGTTTGTAGAGGCTCACTTGTTCCAAATGATAATCTATATTCAATATCACTCATCTGTTCTAGCAGATAAATTCGAACAGGTGTTGGAATACTTAATCTCATCACGTATTGAAAAACTTCTCTAATAATGTCTTGCAAAGCTAAACCTTTGTCAGTTTTGATACTTGCAATCTTTTTGTAACAGTCGTGCAAACCATCGTTGAACAACACGTTCACAATTTGTCTAATATCGCTCTTGAGTGGATTTCCTGTGCACATGTGAACGTTATCCTCCGTAATTTGTCCAAACGACATGTAGGTAGATTGTAGAATGTTGACACACTTTCTCATATCACCATTAGATAATTTAAAAACTGCTTCTAAACCGAGTTGATTAAAAACCACATGTTCTGCATTACAAATTTGTTCCAATCTCGACACAACTTCATGTTTCTTGAGAGGACAAAATCTGAATCTAGTACATCTTGACTGCAATGCTGGAATAATCTTATTCACATAATTACAAATTAAACAAAATCTAACATTTTTTGAATATTTCTCAATTGTACGTCTTAGTGCTGCTTGTGCATCTTTTGTCAATTGATCTGCTTCATCTAAAATAATTAATTTAATATCAGGTATGTCTTGTTTTTGTGCTGAAAAAAACTTTAAACCTTTTGTAGAAGCAAAATCTTTGATTTCTTGTCTAATGACTTGAATTCCTCTATCATCACTAGCATTGAGCTCAAGAACATGATGGGACAAGTTATTTCCGAAGAGTTGTTTGGCAATGGCTAACACAGTACTTGTCTTGAAATGGTATAGTATATAGGTGTAAAAGGCTTTCAACAATGATGATCATCATTACAATTTCTTACCTTTCCTGTCCCAGGTGGTCCGTAGAATAATAGGTGGGGTAATCTTCGTCCATCTATCAATCGTTGGATGGTTGAAATAATTTCTGTGTGTGATAACAAGTCGGAGAGTTCATGTGGACGATATTTTTCAATCCACATTAAATTCTTTTCGTCTGTTGATGACATTTTTTGAGCGCTTTTTAAATTAAATTTTTTTGGCGCGAAACCAATGGTTTTGGAATGGCTTCAAGGAGTTCATGTTCTTGATAATATTATTGAGATTGCATATTGATCATAATTTGATATTATCTAGTTTTATTATGCGACAATATGTTTCAGCATTAATGCGTGAGACACAAATTAGTTGAAGTTAAAAAAATTTTAGCATTCGGGAAGCCATGCAAGACTCACAACAAACAACAACTACCAACATCAACAATGAAATTCAGCCTCGTTTCCAAGATTCATTGTCCATGGCCAAAGTAGAACAATACATCGGAAGAGGTTTCTTTCAAATGCTGTTCCAAGAACAACATGATGTAAACAACAAATACAGCAAGGCTTCTTCCAAACAACAACAAGCCAATGATGACGATGAAGATGAGGATGATGATGAAGAAATTAATGCTGGAGTGGATGTACAAAAATTAATGAAAAAGAAGAGAATTATTAAAAACAGTGAAGGATATGAAAAGGAAGAAGAGGATTATGATTATTATGAAGTACTCGGATTAGAGAAACGTTGGCTCTCCACTCCCGATGATATTAGAAAAGCATATAAAAAGAAAGTCAAGGAATACCATCCTGATCACTTCAAAAAAGCCTCTTCATCCAATGCCGAGACAAGTCAAGTTCCCGATGATACCATGTTCAAAGTGCTGACTAAAGCCTATGAAACTTTGTTGGATGAAAAAAAGAAGTTAGCGTATGATTCCAGTGAACCATTTGATGACTCGATTCCAACATATCCAACTCCTTCCACTCCAATTACAGAGGAGGAAGAACAAAAGCGTTTCTTCTCTACTTTTGCACCAGTTTTTGAAAGATGGTCCAAATGGTCTCGTGTCTTTCCTAATGTTCCTAAATTAGGTGGTATGAAAACACCATGGGAAGAAGTTGAGAGATTTTATACATTTTGGGCGACATTTAAGAGTTGGAGAGACTTCAGTGGAGAGAGTGAATACGATGAATCAATGGCTGATTCAAGAGAAGAACGTCGATGGATGAAACGACAAAATGACAAACTTAATCAAAAACGTAAAAAAGAAGAAAAGAAAAAGCTGACTGATTTAGTTGAACTTGCACGTCGTAACGATCCACGAGTTAAGAAAAAGAATGAAGAAATTGAACAAGAAAGAAAGAGAAAGGAAGAAGAACGAGCTAAACGCGAACTAGAAAAATTTTTGAAAGAAGAACAAGAACGAAAAGATGAAGAGGAACGTCAACGCAAGGCAGAACAAGAAGAACGTGAACGAAAACAACGAGAAAAAGAAGAAAATGAAAGAAAACAACAAGAAAAAATTCAAACCATTAAGAAAATGCGAGATATGTGTGAACCTTATTTAGTTTTAATTTTAAAACTAAGCAAAAATCAAGATCAACAACCAACAAAAATCAAGGCTGAGGATTTGGAATTTCTTCTTAGCAATTTACCAATTGACAATTTAATGAAAGCAGTTCAAAAATTAGAGCCAATATATGAGGAATCACAAAAATCAAAGGATGATTCGATCTTTGTGAAAGCTTTTTATGAAATTGAAAATAAGGTGAGAGAAATTGTTCGTAAAAAAGAAGAAGAAAAAAAACAATTACACGCTCAACAGAAAAAGAATGCTGAAAAGAAGAGTTCTGAATGGACTCATGAAGAATTAACTCTCCTTGCCAAAGCAATTGCTCTCTATCCAGGAGGCACTCAACAGAGATGGGTTCGTGTTGCTGAGTACGTTGGAACCAAAACGCCAGAAGAAGTTCAACAAAAAACAGGAGAAATTCGTAAAAAATCGAGCACTGGTGAAGTGATTCCAAAGCGCGATGAAAAGGATTACTTTGGAGAGTTCCAAAAAGCAAATGCTAAAAATCAAACATCTAAAAAGAAGGAAGAAGAACAAAAAAAGATGGAAGAACAATATGTCATTGGATCAAAAACGAATCAACCCTCTTCGACAGAATCATCCAGCACAACGAGTATAGAAAACTGGACAGCACTACAACAAAAAGCTCTTGAGACAGGAATTAGACAATACAAAGAGTTGAAAGGAGACGCCAAATGGGAAAAGATTTCTGAAATCGTTCCTGGAAAATCAGCTCAAGATTGTAAGGACCGTTTTGAATACTGTAGACAGCTTGCATTGGCAAAAAAGAGTAAACAATAAGGTGGTCGTTGCTGAATTTCACAACCTTGTTCTATGTTTTGAAAAGAGACGAAGGTCTCATTCCTGTAGAATTTATGATCCTGAATTTGTTTTGAGCCCTATCAAAAAGTATGATGCTGGATTCGAATTTGCATCCACACAATTAAAACAAGATCGAGAATTTGTATTGAAAGCAGAACGGAATGGCTCTGTCGTGGGGTGACATGAATTTCAACATGACGGGGAAGTTGCATTGGCTGCCGTCAAACAAAATGGTATTGCATTGAAATTTGTCACCTAAGACTGCTCAATTAAATTGCAAGGTTTGCTTCAAGATCCTGATTTCTTTATACAAGTACTCCAATTAATATATCCAAAAGAGTTTGAAAGCTTAAAATATGTAAAAAACTCTTTTGAATACTCAACGAATGAAACCATGACCAAGATGGTTCAAGAATTTGGGTTTTTACTTGGATTTGTTTCTAGTGAACGCAAAACTGATCGAAATTGTTCTGAGTGCCGTTAGAAATGATGGGAGTTCATTACGATTTGCAGATTTGAAGAGCGACAAAGAAATTGCATTACTTGCTGGTTTTACGTGTTATACCTCAAATGAGATGAAGAAATACATTCTTCGGCCTTATATACCAGAAGAAGAATTACAAGAATTTATTGGCTTTGTAACGGAACAAGTGTTCTAAAAGTTCGTTTTCATGTTCGAGGCGTTTAAAAGCTTTTCGGTAGGAGAGAATTTTTTTTCGAATGACATCTGCATTCACTTCGGAAACGACTCCATTATTATTGTTACCGTGTTGGAATAAGTCTGGGAAAAAGGTTTGTTGTTGTTTTGGGGATATGACTTTGGATTGTAAGCAGCGCCAATACTCCTTTCTGGTATTGCGATTTGCAGGTACGGTTACACTTGTCTTTCCTTCAATCATTTGATTGACTGTCCTACAAATATTGACATCCAAATTGCATGGTGTTGATAAAATACTTTGCCTCAAGAGTGGTATTCGGCTGCGTACACGCTCACTGTATACCGCATACTTTAGATAATACATGAATGTATTATTTGCAATATCTGGATAGGCATGTGTAAATTCCTTCTTGTAACCACTGAAACAGTCTAATTTACCAGTAATACATGTCACAATAAAACAAAGAAGAGGAATTGCAGATCTTGGAGATAGATTCCATTGAGTGTGAGTGGGAATACATTTCGACAGCACATGATCTTCCAGATATTGTTCTCCTCTCAATGTAGGTGCATTTCCTTTTCCATTGAAAATATAAAGGAAACAATTTTGTAACATGTTCATATTTAAAAAAGATACAGGATCATTACTTGAAGAATATGGATTTTGCAAATGTTCATTGATGGTGTCATGAGTTTCTGTTGAAATATAAATACTTGTTCCATTAAAATAATCATATCCAAAAAGGAAAAATCCATAACCATATCTGGTTCGAGCAATAATGCATTCATCCAAACCACTAATCCTCATTTTGATTTTCAGTTCAATAAACCTAAAATTTTCAAGCACCAAAAAATCAACATCTTTAGTAAATGGGTGCATCTTTCCTCCATCTCCAGAATAATAAACTTTCTCTACTTTGATTCTCCCACAAATAAATTTTGTTAATTGATTCAAATATGGATGAACTATTGAGTGGTTCATAAAGTCCATTTGACGACTGAGATCGATAACACCATTGGAACTGATCTTATTCGTTGTTCGTATTTCATGTTTAGAAAAGTGATCTCGGATCATATTCCTCCAGAATACGTTATTATTTTCCAATACAGTTGTTTCAATACCCGTTTTTCCTTTCTTGTTGTTGCTCATCATGTGGAAATACCATTCCCATAACGCATTTCCACTCGCAATTTCGTTCCAATCCGAGCAAACGAGGCACAACGTTGGAACATGAGAGAAATCCAAAAACTTGAAAACATAAAGCAAGGAATCATGGTCGAGCATTTTTTTTTTGGAAGTGCTTGACTTTGCGAAATTAAGAGTGACACAGAGCGCGTTTAACTCCAGATAAAATTTGCAGGCAAAGTGTCATTTTCAAAATTTTGTAAAGACTTGTCTGCAGCAATGCCGTTCAGACTGGCACTCGTTTTTTCCTAAAAAATGAATCTTTCCAACTTGACTCCCGATCTCAAGTTGAAACTTCTTTCCATGCTCTCATCAGCATCCTCTTCATCCTCTGCAACCTCTTCCTCCTCTGCAACCTCTTCATCCTCCTCATCCCACCATACATGCTCGAGCTTATCTTTACCACCACACCACACCATCATTTCAAAGCAAGACAAAAAATTCATTCTCTCCGTGATCGATACGATTCAAGAGCAAGGCTATTTCATCAAAGATGAATTTCAATCCAATGACTTGACACAACAAACAAAAGATCAAATCATTGAAATGAAATCATCACTTCACCAAGCAGGAATGGGAGAAGAAGGTTCTACCAAATATATCAACCCAGAACTTCGAGGTGATTTATTCAAATGGATTTCTGAACAACAAGTTGAAGAAAATACCCCACTCAGAAAAACTCTAACCAATTTGAATAGAATTCGCCATGTTTTAAATTACGTATTTAATTTACAATTAGATAGAAATAGTATTCAAATAGCATTCTATTCCAATGGTGCTCGATATATTAGACATGCAGATGCAACACCATTACAATCACCAGATCGTCGATTAACTTTTTTATTATATTTTAATGATGAATCAAGTATTGATGGTGGTTCTTTACAATTGTACAGAAAGGAACGATCCTTTGACAATGAATACAGAACACCATATGAATATCAACTCAAAGAAAATTCCGATAATCAAGTCATAGTGAAACCTTTATTTAATCGATTGCTAGCATTTTCATCGGAACATTACCATGAAGTTTTACCATCACTGAGTGATCGATTTTCATTGACCATGTGGATGTATGGTCATGTGGATGTGTGGCAACGAATTAGAGAATATACTCGATCTAAAATATTTGTTTCTATTTGTTCTTATAGAGACAGTGAATTACAACATACCATCAAGGACATGTTCGAAAAAGCATACTATCCAGATCGATTGAGAGTTGGAATTTGTCTACAAGTTCATGAAAGTGACTCGATTAACGATAAATTTGATTATAGAAATCAGTCGTACTCACATCAAATTAAGGAGATTATCATGAACTACAAGTCATCTAAAGGACCATGTTATGCACGATTTTTGATTCAGAAATATTTATATCAACAAGAAGAGTATTATCTTCAAATCGATTCACACATGAGATTTGATGATGGTTGGGATCTCACTCTCATCAAACAATTGCATCAATGTGAAGAAGAAGAAGAATCGAGAAACAACCACACAACCCTCAAAAAATCAAAGCTTGCCAAATGTATTCTGAGCACCTATCCTGTTGGTTATGAATTACCAAACAAAATTCCAGAACATGCCAAACCAACAATTATGGTCGCCAAATCTTTCACAAAGGATGATCATGGATTTGAAATGTTACGACTTGGAGCTCGTGTAATCATGCAAAGTTTACACCAACCTGTAAAGAGCATATTTTTTGCTGCTGGATTTGCTTTTTCACGTGGAAGACTTGTGTTGGAATGTCCTTATGAAGAGTTACCGTATCTATTCTTTGGTGAAGAAATGTACATGCTTGAGAAATTCCATTGCAAATCCTATCAAATTTATTCTCCATGTGAACCAATAATCTATCATTTGTGGTCAAGAGATCACAGAAAAACATTGTGGCAAGACCAACAAGAAGATTCCAATCGATTAACACTGTCATGGAAATCATTTGTAGAGAATCATTTCAAACCATTAACAAAAACATCAGTGGTATCTATTGATAGTGATCTGTATGAAACTATCGATGATGTTGAGCAGATTCAACTCATCAAACAGCACTCACAAAACATGGTTCAACTCAAGCTCAAAATGAATAATAATGATCAACCAATAATAACGACTTGTGTTGAATCCACTCAACAACATGCACCTTCCTCCTTCTTTGAATATTGTGGAATTGACTTTACTCAACGAATTATTGAAGAGAAGGCACAACGAGGAGGTTTATCCCAACACTATACCCTTATTTGAGTTGATGATGGGTTGGACAGTTGTCTCTTTTTACATGTTCGTCATATTACAGCAGCTGTTACAGTAAAAAAGTTACAGCTGCTCGGCAACAACGATTCAACTAGTACACATACTTGACTCAATTCATGGTGATCACAACACAATCGTCGATATCATTTCTTCATAGCCTTACTTACATTTCGGGGATTTTTTTTCTAGATAAATTAGCGAGCGGCGAAAATGATTGGATCGCAACACAAATCTCGAACGCCAGTTTACAACACCATTCTCGCTCTTTTCACCAAGAAAAAAAACGCCCAACATCTCCTCCACATCAACACAACACCCCGAAAATGAGATCTGCTATCAACAAAGTCTCCAACAAGGCTCTCCTTCAAGCATTTACTCCATCAACAACTCAAAGATTTTATTCAGCTGAGTTGAAGGCCATCTTGGCTAAACAAATTCCAGAGAAGCAAGCTGAAATTAAATCCATCAGAGAAAAGCACGGTTCCGTCTCCCTTGGTGAATGTACCATCGAAATGGCATATCAAGGAATGAGAGGTATCAAGGGCTTAGTTACCGAAACTTCTCTCTTGGATCCTGAGGAAGGTATCAGATTCAGAGGATACAGCATCCCAGAATGCCAAGAAAAGCTTCCAAAGGCTAAGGGTGGTCAAGAACCACTTCCAGAAGCAATGCTGTGGTTGTTGTTGACTGGACAAGTACCAACTGATCAACAAGTTGAAGCTTTGAGAGTGGACTTGCAACAAAGATCCACTCAAGTCGATAAACAAACTATTGACTTTGTAAAGAACATTCCAAGCAATCTTCATCCAATGACACAATTCTCTATGGCTATCTTGGCTTTGCAAAAGGATTCCAAATTCGCCCAAGCATATCAAAACGGAGTTCATAAGAAGGAATATTGGATTCATACATATGAAGATGTTTTAAATTGTATTTCTCGTTTGCCAACAATTGCTTCTATCATTTACAGAAAGACATATCACAACGGAAAGTATATTGAAAGTGATAAATCTTTGGATTGGGCTGCTGATTATGCTCATATGATGGGTTACTCTGGAAACAAGGAAATTGCTGAATTGTTCCGTTTGTATTTGAGCATCCACACTGACCACGAAGGCGGTAACGTTTCCGCACACGCAACTCACCTTGTTGGTAGTGCTTTGTCCGATCCATACTTGTCACTCAGTGCTGGTATGAACGGTTTGGCTGGTCCATTGCACGGTTTGGCCAATCAAGAAGTATTGAGATGGTTGAAGGATGTTCAAAAGGAATTAAATGGTAGAGAGCCAACTAAGGAAGTGTTGAGACAAGTCATTTGGGATACCTTGAACGGTGGACGAGTCGTTCCAGGTTATGGTCATGCTGTCTTGAGAAAGACTGACCCAAGATATACTTGTCAACGAGAATTTGCTCTCAAGTATATGAAGGATGACCCATTGTTCAAGCTAGTTTCAACTTTATATGAAGTTGTTCCTGATGTTTTGACTGAACACGGAAAGACCAAGAATCCATGGCCAAACGTTGATGCTCACTCTGGATGCTTGTTGCAACATTACGGAATTGTTGAGGAAGATTATTATACTGTTATGTTCGGAGTTAGTCGTGCTATGGGTGTTTTGTCAAGCTTGTTGTGGGATAGAGCTTTGGGTCTTCCAATTGAACGACCAAAGTCTGTTACCACTGAATGGATTAAGAAGTTTTTGAAGATTTAAATAAATTACTAAGGCACTTTGTATTTTCACTTGACATGAAAATATTGAATATTGTTTTTGGGGATGCCCATCCATTTTGGGCATTTGAAAAGTGACGGGATTATTGGATTTTTATTTATTTCTTCAGATTCTGCAATAAAAAATGAATATCGCTAGACGACTCGTGAGCAAGAAGAAAAAGAGGTACACCGAAGGCGGGTATGTCACAGAGTGAATTCACATGAAATTTGTTTTTTCAATATGATTATTTTTATATCATCATCCATATGATTGTCTATAGCTTTGATTTGGGTATGTTTTGAAATTTTACATTAAAAAACATTGACATCATGATGAATAACAACAGACTTGACATATGTCACTCCAAATATTATTGCGATGGGATTTCCAAGCGTCGGTACGTTACACACACATGAATGTGACACGATCACTAATTATTATGAAAATCATTCATAACAGGAAAGGAAGCTCTCTTTAGAAATCCAATGGAAGAAGTACAACGAATGTTAAAAAGAAATCATGGTGAGCACTATAAGGTCTATAATTTGTGTTCTGAAAAAACCTATGAACCATCTTCTTTTGATGGACGAGTCGAGAGATTTCCATTTGATGGTATGTGATGAGTTTGAATGTTAATATTGAATAACAATAATAATATTGGAATATTAATAACATCTACTATTGTTATGGTGATTGAAATGTTAAAAATTTATCTTGATCTCAACCTACATAATCTTGTGATGATACATTATTACAAAATATTTTTTCAGATCACAATGCTCCACCTTTTGAAATCATGTTACCATGTTGTAGAAGTATGGATGAGTGGTTGAAACAAGATTCAAGAAACGTTGCCATTATTCACTGTAAAGCTGGAAAGGGAAGAACTGGAACCATGATTTGTGGTAGGTATATTTATGAATTATTCAAATTCTCAATGAAACCTATCTATATAAATTTCGATAATACCATCGTCGTCATGACACATGTCACCTGCATATTTCGATAATGGTATCATCATGATCATCATGAACACACACACGATCAACTCGATTGATCCAATTTAACATTCAACAACAACACAGCCTATCTTCTCTACTGTGGTGCTCATAAAACACCAGAATCCAGTATGGATTTTTATGCCGATTCAAGAACTCGGAACAAGGAAGGAGTGACCATTCCCTCCCAGAGACGTTACGTCCATTATTTCTTTGAATATTTGAAAAATGGAATTCAATATCCAAGACCTAATCTATCTCTCTATTTGGATTTAATGATTTTATTGAATCCACCTCAATCTATTCTAGGTGGAACATTTAAACTTGTGATTAATGACAAGGATGGAAATACAATATTTTCATACAAGTATAAATCTAAAAAAGAAAGTGATACCATCATTACCATTCCATTATTAACCTCACATAATAGCAAGAGAATACCCTTAACAGGAGATTTGAAAGTATTGTTTTATGAAATTAATTTAACCACTTCCAAACAATTATTCCATTTTTGGGTGAACACATTCTTTTGTCCTCAGAATAATATTGTAGTATTACAGAAAATTGAAATTGACAAGATTAGTCGAAAGAGTACCTTTCCCGAAGATTTTAGACTCGAGTTACAATTCAGTGAGGCTCCACCAAGTGAAGTTGAGGCTTATTTTTTATCCCAAAGAAAACTCCTCAAGAACAATAGTCCATCTTTGGGCTTTAAAAAATCGCAACTCACTCCGACCACTACTACAGCGACCACTGCAGCAGCATCGTCGAGTCCTTCCTTGCTCATGGGTGCAACTACAGTTCCACATGTTGTTCATGGAATTGGCGCTCTCTCAAAGAATCATCCCTCCTATTCAAGCAATAATGAAAACAATGAAACCGTGGACTCGAACAATTCAGAAGAGAATGGTGTAGAAGATGATGAAGATTGTGAGGAAGAAGAGGATGATTCATGTACTCCATTATCCTCATGTATGATTGGTGAAGACGATGATGAAGCCATGAATGCAGAAGATGCCGATGCTTACTCTTCTGGATGTGAATATAATGATGGATATCTCGATGAGGAAGATTTTGTACAAAAATTAGAATTGAAGTATAATCAAATGAGAAATAATTAGTCACATGTAGAATATATACAAAACATATCACAATGTTTTACGTAAAATTGTCAAACCTTATTATTATAGTATTGAAAAACGTGTTCTGGGATTGATCATTTTTGAATTATTGGAAAACAATTTAAAAAAAAATGTCCAACCATCCCACAAAGAAAAAGGTTCCAGTTGGTCAATCTTCCTCCGATTTCACCCTTTCTGCCACATCAACGACCACAACGGCACAAAAAAAACCTGGTACATGGTGGTTCTGGTACTATAAAGATGCTTTAAAAACAAATTCCGAAATTCCTTCCTTTTCAGTTGAAGGAAGAAAAAGTTTATTGAGTTATATTTTAGGTACCAGACGAATATTGAAACATGAGGATTTAAAAACGAGCAGCAGTAGCGGTATTGGTTCACTCAAGCCCACTGCTTGATTTTCTTTCCCAAAGCAGACCATTCTACCGATCAATTTGCTGCCTCTCTAGTTCAATCATTCAAATCATCGGTGGTTCTATCAAAACAAAAGAACAATATTCATTTATTTATTACTTGCCCAACTTTGGAAAATTTTGATCAAAATACAAAGAATATTCCTTCTGGAGTAAACATTTGGGCTGATGTCAATGGAGCAGTTGCAGAAAAATTTGGAATGAGACCTACCATTCAAGATATTAATTTAAATGATTTATTAGGGGAAGATGAAAAGAAAAAGAGCTCATACAGCAAACAAACGGTTGTTGGAATATTTTTTGCCATGAATGGTAAAATTGTAAAATCTCCTGCATTTCAACCCAAATTACAAACAGTTACGCTAGATACTATGAAAAGTGTTTATGATTTTATCGAAAAATGTCAAGGTAATATTTCTAAAATTACAGCACCAGATTCCTATGCAGCAGATTTAACAGAGAATGATTTAAAGACGCTTCATTCAGCTGCTTGGAGTGACTATCAAAGAGAATTAAATCAAATGAATTTGGATTTGGGATTAGGAGGTTCTTCAACGAAAAAGCACAAGGTATCATCAACAACAACAAAAAAAACAGCCACAAGAACAAGCAAAACATCCCCTTCTGGTGCACCAAACGTTTCCACAAAAAAGAAAAAAGTAACTTCAAAATCTCTTCAACAAGCACCTCCTCAAAGACTTTCAAAGCTGTAATTTAATTTAATGGAAAATACTTCCAGCAGCATTACAAAAATTGTCAATCAGAATAATTTATTGATCTGAATTAGCCATAATGGTTGCATCAATTCTGTTAAGTTGAATCAAATCAGTGGTCTCTTCTTTCAATGTGAGAATTGGAACCAAGACATTTGGGTTGCCAATGACAGTTTGATCCATATTGTACTGAGCATTAAAAGTGTGGTTATTCATCAAATCTTTCCATGATGATTCTCTAATTGAGAATTCACGCAACAAATAATTTTGTCCAAATTTGTGAAATAGTCTGGTATCAATGCATCGAATACAAACTCCATCCACACGAAGGAAGAATCTCATCAAAACATAAAACGAATGATTCATGACACGAATTTTTGCAGTCAAGTGGGAAACGCCTAACCATGACACAAAACGTTGGTGTTATCCATGAAAATTAAAATTGTTAAATTAGTTTTCACAAAAACATACCATGATCATGCAATTCATCTTCAAATAAAACAATTTCATCATAAAATAGTATTGGATCATCTTTCCTTTTTAGTAAATCGTAGTCAATCTTGTGAGTTTTTGTTGGAACAATTGCACAAGATGGTATTTCATTCTCATCACTGCTGGTTGGTACAGATCCTTTGTATAACGTTGTAAATGTCCAATCAATGCCATCATCTCTTTCATTTACATCACTCAGTTGGTCATTTGAGTTTGGAATTTTCTTATTCATCCAAGTTTCGTAACAATTGACTTTAATTCTTTGAATGTGTGAGCATTGATCAATTGCTTCATTCTTTGCATACAAAAGAGCGTCCTTTGCGTTAAAATGAAATTCAAATCCGTTGACTGTATTTGTTATTGTCAAATAAGAATTAAATGTTTGCTCAGGAATTGCAAAGATTTTTAATTCATCTTTCAATTGATCGGATTCTGTTTGATTGAGAATGGGTGTTTTGAGAGTGTCAAATTTCCAATCATGAATTTGAAAAGACTCATGTTGGGGAGTGGCAGTAGTTGTGCTAGAGAAATGACCAACTCCGATCTGAGATGTTCTGATGGATGGAGAAAATGGAGCTCTGAAGGGTGTGGTTGTGGTGGTTGGGAGGTTGTTGTTTGTGGTCGGAAAACGACTAGTCATGGTGATGATGGAACAAGTTAGGCTAAGCAGCAGGTGCGATGATGATGAGAATAAATAATAAAGGTATTTTTTTGATGATGGACGTTGAATACGAAAGAAGAGAATGCATATTTGATTTTTCAAACAGTTTCTGTGTGATGAGTGATTAGAGATGTTGTTTGCTTTGGTGATGTTTTTTGATTTTCAAATCTAAAAGAACACAACTCGATTTAATGTCATGGAAGAATTCAGATCACATAACAAACAAAAAATGCAAAGCAACACAACCACGACCACCTCTCACTTTGTGCAGTCGTCATCATCGGCTACATCATCATCATCATCAAGCCTTTTAGATATATTTAATTTTACCAAGCCTGTATTTACAAAACTTTCCTCCGTAGTGGTGTTTCCCTTTTTATCGGGTGTATTCTCTGCTTTGGGTGAATACTCCATGAGATTTATTTATTCAAAATTTCAACAAGTGTCAAAGAAGAATAACAGTACCGAATTTGATCCTCTAGAAACATTTGTTACCAATGGAAGACCATTAAACACATTAAAAAGAAAAAAGATTTAATCATATTTCAACCATCATTAATTTTGTACAACCCTCAGGAAGAAGTAGCTCACAAACAGTGAAAAGTGAACAATACTTGATTGCTTTAAACCCTTCTCAATTTTGTAAAGACATTTGTAGCAACCCCAAAAAAATGAATGATCCACCACTCCACACTTCGGCATTGAGCCACACAGATGGTATGATAAGAACGACAGAGAGGCTTCGGGATGATGATCATTATGAAGACCAAGAGTTGTACCAAGAAGAGGAATCTGATCATGAAAATAAGGATGATAAGCTGCTTAATGGAGAAAGCCTTAATCAATCTCTGTTGATGCCATCCTCACCAGCATCATGTATATCCACAGAATCTCCCATGTCTCATTCTACTCCTCCCCTCCAAATAGTGAGAGTGTTTGTAACAATAGCACATCCTTCAGGGACGGTGAAGAAGGCAATCCTATTTCTCCCTTTTGTTTCCTCCATTCATCCAAGTATGGAGATACTCAAAACCTAGGTCGTCTACGATACGACGAAGTAGGAGAAGAGGATGAGATTCATCACTCCCTATCTAACAACAATATCACTCCAGTTCAACACTTGAAACACCTTCGCATTCTTGATGACAGTGTAGTCATAAGCACTCCAATTTCATCTCTCTCCAGTAGTGAACAGAGTAGGACTTATGAAACACCTCTCATCGGTTCAATCAGTACCATGGCCACTACTGAGGGTTCGATACAAGATCATTCTTACATGGATGAGAGAGGTGAAATTGCAAAAAGCTATCCTCACTCGTCCTTCTTCTCTACCTTAAATATTACTTCTACCACTCCAAACTCAACCGACAGGCTATCAACAACGTTCACTTCAACACCTTCAAGGTCTTATCAATTCGTTCAAGAATCACTCGGGCTGAGCAGCAACAGTAGACCGATTACCTCAGCACACTCGATGTTAACCAAGTCTTCCTCAACATCGGAGCTTTTGCATCAGGCCTCTCCGTATAGATTTTTGAGATCTTCTCATTCCTCCTCAAATATATCTGTACCTCTTCGTTTGTCTGCAATTCCAAATCAACTCATTGAGGATAAATTGAATGAATTAAGAAAACAATTACAAGGCCATCCAATGATATCATCACCAAGATATTACACTATCCCGTCCTATCGAAGTGTATACTCACATTCACATACTGAAGCAGGAGTGGACACAGATAGAATGTTGGAAGGTTTTGTTAAATCATGCAGAAAAGACATTTACCAAAATGCAATCATAAGAGATGAATTCAAAAAACATATCCAGAGGGTATGTGATGAGGATGGAAAGATTCGTAGAAATGCTGTAAGTTATTGTCAATGATGCGCTTCTTTAATTCCAAATGATGATTAGATTGAGAACATCAAAATATTAGACAAATCGTTTTCTTCATCCTCAATATTGTTGACGAGTCATGAAAATGCAATACTACATCCCCGGAGAGTGGATTCATTGCCCTCTTTCGATCACATTCAACCAAGAGTATCTCATTTACCCAAGCAAGCTCCTACACCAGAACCTGTTGAAAAGTTATTCCCACCTTACAAATCCAAGTGTCTTCTCACTCGAAGAGTAAACTCCAGATTTATGGAATGGTGTGAACAAAAGAAGGAGCCCAATGAATTGTCTTCTTCATCACTGAGGTCAGGATCATCTCCACAAACACCAAAAACACTTCAAGGAGGTAAAAGAAAAAGTGCAACGAGCGAAACCAACACATCTTTGCCAGCCACCTCATCTTCTCCATCCATACTTGTTACTTCACCAACAACGAATAACAAATCACAGGAAGAAGTTGATGTTTCTTCTTCACCATCCACAGTGAAAACAGTCTCAACCCCAAATAGACAACAGAAAACTCCCCACACATCTCTACAATCCAATAGGGTCGTCTCTCCATTATCAAGTGAGGACAAAAAGAAGAAGCCTTCACAAAATGAAGTTCTACCATTAAGGATAAGCGCCTTGTATAATTTAGCAATGAACACCAACTCTCCATCCAGAAGAGAACAAATCGAAAAAGAAAAGCAAGAATTTCTCAACAAGTGCATTCCCTTCCAATCAAGTACTTCAAAAAAGCACAACAATTCTCCAAAACGTAAATAAATTTGGTTCCAATCAAATGAATTGCCAAAATCCTGAGTGTCTGGATTCACAGCAAAATATTTATCTTTAAAGAAACATGCTAAAAAATGTCATCACCAGAACAAGCCATTCAAACAACAATAAGACTCAACTATTGGATGAGATGCTTGCTCTTCCACCCAAACAAGCTTCTTCCGGACTTTCTATTACAAATCAACAACCACCAGAAATTAATAACATCAACAAATTACCAGAGCAACCTACCATCCAATATCGACTCGAGTTTGATGAATTATCGGAACGCAAAGAAAAGAGATTGAAAGATATTCTGAGAAATGATGAATATCAATTTAATTATCCTCTTTATAATTTCGACCAAAAGAATTATAGACGAATTCCATACCTAGATCCAAGATTTGTTGCATTTAAACAACATGTGGAAGAAGGTTTTGCTATGAAACTTGCCAAACACAGACAAATAGCAGACAATCATAAAATACCACTCATATTATCTTCTTTAATATCTTCAACACTTCTTTGGAAGAAACCAAAAGAGAAAATAACGAATTATATGCTTTTCATTACTGGAACACTTGGATTTAGTTATTTATATTTTCATAATTTAGCCTATGGTGATATGATCAACAGAGTGAATATTGAGGCTCATAGAATATTACATCATGAACAAAAGACATTTGGAATGAGTGATCAACAATTGAAAGTAGCAGCTGAACGAATTGACAAACAAATTGATAAGGAAATGAAAGAAAGAGAAGGATTAGTAGAAAATGATGAAAACGACAGTGAATGAACCAGAGTTTTTTGTCATTTTCCAAATTGGATATAGGGAAATGAGAATTTGTTGTCCAGGCGACCTTTAAAGAATTTTTGAATCATTATTGGGTTCCCCTGCTACTATACTACGAACTGCTTGAGATGTCGTCGCCAAGTGGTGATGTTAAAATAAAATGAACGTTCGTTGGGTATTGTGTCTCGTCAACTACAATGTTGGTTGAAAAAAGCGCCAAAAAAATGTCTGAACCTGAGGATCATGTCCTTGTCGACGATGTAGAACGTTCGTCTGATTTGAACGAGCACGTGCTCACCAATACGAATGAAGAATTGCTTGAATTCATCAGGGAGAGGTTAAGTGAGATTGGGCGTTCAAGTACTGGTCTCGGAGTTGTTTTTTACAAACTCAATCTTGGGGTAAGTACTCTAAACCTGGATCTTGAATGGTCGTGAATCACCACCCAAAGAATTTAAATCTACACTCGTCGATGCTTTCAGGACATGTCAAAATTGCTCAACATTTCCCTCATTTACGGAATGTTGATTTAAGTCATAACGAACTCACTGATTTGAAATTTCTATCTGATATGCATTCATTAGTTATTTTAAATGCTAGTAGTAACAAGATTAAATCATTACTTGATTTCCATATGGATGAACATCCTTCAAAAGTTTCATTGATTGAGGCAAATTTCAGTAACAATCTGTTGACGTGCTTTGATCGTTTAATGCCATTTTCAAAGAGTTTAAAAAGGCTAAACATTTCAAAAAATAATATTGATCATGATCTAGAAGAATTAAATGTTCTAACTCATTTGATGGAGTTAGACATTTCGAATAACCGTATCTCGTCATTGAATTTATCAGAATTGAAATATTTAAAAATATTGAATGCAGAAAATAATCAACTCCAATCTGTTTCTGGCATTGTTTGTTCGTCGCTACAGCAACTCAATTTGAAGAACAACAATATTCAACATTTATCTCAGTTTCAAGCTCTAACATTCGTTTTTAAATTAAATTTAGAAAATAATAAGATTGAGAGATTCGAAGAAGTTAATTATTTGGCAGACCTTACATACATGTATGACTTGTCATTACTTGGAAACCCATTCCTCATCTCACCAACGGATGATTCACTACAAGTTTCAACGATTTACAAAAACTCAATTCTCTTTCGATTACCTCAAATTGTAATTTTAGATCAGTTCGAAGTGAGTAGTGAAGAGAAAGTGAGAGCCATGTTGTTCCATCAACAACAATCATTAGAAAATAAATCAGAGTGAGAAGAGTTACAATCTCTATGAATCCAATATAAAAAAAACTACTCATTGTAATTCTCCTCGCACACGCACATACATAGTGCCATTAAATGTCTATCTTAATGTACTGAACATGGAGAATTGAATGGTATTCGATGAATCTATCATGCTAGAAGCAACAGTACCACCATTCAAAATATCATTGTTGGAAACGAGTGATGAATTGTTATGGTTGGTCATGGCACTAGTTCGACCAACACCAATACCACCAATACCACCCACACCCGTACCACTACCACCAACACCCGCAACAACACCCGCAACAACACCCGCACCACTACTTGCTTTGAGTTCGATTGGACCATATACTTTCACTTGTCTTACATGAGTATCTCTACCATTGAGATGATTTTGTGAAATGACAATTTGTAACATGTTACATCGAATACAATTTGAGACTTGATCTTTTTCATCATTCATATTAATACAAATATATCCAACTGGTTCTTCTAATTCTACTGTCTTGACATGTGTCAAATCATGAAAACTAGTACCACATCGAATACTAATTGTTTGAGGAGTATAAGATTCATCTTTTTTGTAATCCAAATAGATCAATACATCTTGTACACTTAATACTTTGTGAAATTGAATATTAATATAATGTGGTTGAGGACCATCCGATTGCCAAAATGTTTCACAATTATCATCTCTTAATTGTTCAACACCATTTCCTTGTTTGGCAGTAGATACACTCCATACAGCATATTTTCCAATTTCAATCATGGATGAATATGTTGCAAAGGATGCATCAATGGGTTGTTGATAATGATTTACATTTTGAATCATGGGTTGAAATGAAGAAGAATGAACTATGGAATGACTCTGAACAAAATCAGTATAGGAAATTCTATTCGTTGGGTGGAGGTGGTGGTGGTTGTAGTATTCACATCTAGATGAGATGGTTGTTGTGGATTGAGTTGTTGTTGATGAATTGGATGTAAAAAATCATTCGCATTTCCATCATCGAGTGGAGGATGATTGGAAGGTTGTTCATGAACAGAACCACCTCCTTCACCACCGAACAACAAGGGAGTGAGTGAGAGACCATGTGGGTTGTTTAAAGAGGATGATGAAAATAATAAATTTTGAATTCTTGTAGGATCATGTTGTGTGATGGCATCATGATCGATGGTGTGTGATGAGGATGAATAGAAACCCGATGAAGAAGATAATTGAGAGAGTCGAAACATTTTTTTTTGTAAAACTCTTGATAAGCAATTCCAAAGGTGAGTTTGAAATCATCTCGAATCATTCATTCCTTAATGTGTCAGTATTCAAGTAATAATTGTCATTGCTTCTCAATACTTGAACAAGTTCGAGCACTTGCAAGAATTAAAATTTTCAAAAAAAAATGAGTGTGCGACTCAAGAAGAAGAAGACGACTTGCTCCTCCATCTTTCTGCTCTCACCACCACTCCTAGTACTTCCGAGCATGCTGCGACTCCTCAAGTGCATAACCATTCGAATGCACTGTTGATGGATAAAACAAGTAAATTCTTTCCCAAATCACTTATACCCAAACCAGTACAATCATTGGCAGAAGAGGATCCTCACACCGAGTCCTCATCCACCACACGTGCATTTCTTCTGATGAACTCGACAAGAATCATTTTCACTCGAATAGTTCCAATCAAAAGAACAAGTTACTTTTGAAGAGAAGTCTTTCATCTGATGATGATGAAGACTTTGTATTCAATGATGATGACGATGGAGATTCTTTTGAAGAATTTGTTAAAAAGAATTCAAAGACGACTACTACGAGTAGTAACAAGAATACTTCTAATCATACTACTACTGATACTACTACTACTACTACTCATACTACTCATAATAGTTATAATACCATAACTTTTAACTATTCCTGTGATGTATGTAAAAAAGATATTACATTCTTGAGTAAGAATGATCGAGTGAAACACATCAAATTATGTTGTAAAGTCTATCAAATTGGAAATGATCAAATGAAACTCTACATTACACAATTAAGAGATTTACAAAAACAAGAAGTGAACAAGAAAAAGAATTCAAAAAAAAGAAAACGAAAATCAACAACTTCAAGCGCCAATCAAGAGAATTCTGAAACTATGGTATCGATTCGTCCTTTTTCAACAACAACCAATTCCAATAGGACATACTATTCAACTCAACCATTGAATGCATCCATGGTTCAAGATCATCCCATCAAGACTCTTCATGCAACAACTTCAACAAACTCAACGAGTACAACCATAACAACCATAACAACACCAACTAGTACAACCATAACAACACCAACTAGTACCACCATAACAAACTCAACAACAACACCAACCATTACAACCCTTTCATCACCATTTCAACTCTTCACAGATCATTCTTATTTCAATAGAATGAATCAAATATCTACTGTTCAAGAATGGTTGACTTTCATTCAAATGAATCAATATTATTCTAATTTTTCTAATCATGGTTATGATACTTTGGATATTCTATGTACGAGTGATCTCAATGAAAATGATTTGATACATCCATTAAATATTACCTTACATGGTCATCGTAAGAAATTACTCTCTGAATTATCAAAATTAAAACAATTCTATGAATTTAATAAGAAGAGATTAGAATCAGAAAAGAGAAGAAGTGATTTAATTGAGAGAAGAAGAAGAATGAAAATATGTGAGATGGATCATCATGTACAACAACTAGAAGTTCATCATGATGGAATGGAAAAGAGTAATAATAATAATAGTA